GGAGGGGGATGATGGAGAGATACTACCTAAGTACTAGGAGGTTCAGTCATACCGACATTTACAACGCATATACTTGATCAACAGGGGAATGTCATTCACCCGTTCGAGAGGTCCTCGACGACTCATCGATCAGCAGGCCGTAGTCATATCAAAACATTACACTAACCTATAGCCAAAAGCTCGTGAATCTCACTCCTGCGCAAGACGAGCACAGATTTTAAAGGTAGCCCCACACTGATCAGGAAAACAGTCTCATGTAAATTTACTAGAGGTCAAATCTTCGTCTTCGTCGACGAACTTGAAGATGTGTATACGAAGTGGCATACATAGCGACGGCGTGAAAGGCAGGCTTGTATTAAACTCGATCATCAGGTCAGGATGTGTTCAGTGTCGTGTATCATTCTCTTGCCTTACACAAGCCTGCAGCAACTTGAAGAGTCCTCGGGTATGTGTGGCCATGCATGCACCCTAATCGGACCCGAACAGCCCGTAATCAGAGCATCCAAAAAATACGTAGGCCACACAATTTAAATCTATCCCAACGTCGTTAGTTTCCATTTCTACCTTCAGTTACGGGGCCGACGAACGGTGTTTATGGTTTGCTCCCAGAAGGTCTAGCGAGGTCCTCAGGACATAAAAGCAGGCTGTCTTCCTGATATCTGAGAGTTATTCGAACTTGAATAGATTTTACATATATTACCTCGTGTAACCAATGCGTTTCTCCTTGCTTGCCGTCATTGCTGCTCTGACAAGTGCGGATATAACTATGTGAGTTTGCTTTGGATCCATTGGCAGGATCCAACCTCGTGACTCACCCTTTGCGCTTTGTAACAGCGTTGTGGCGGGATGTGCTATCCTAAGGACTCGCAAGATTACGAAGAGTTGGCACGTCGCGAGAGTGAGTCATGTTTCTGCCTTCGTATTGGAGTTATTCATGGTTCGGTTCCTAGTGACTTGCTGAGTTGTTCATTATGATCGTTGTTGGGCCATTTTCACTGCCGCTTGATCAATGGAATCCTTGAATAAAGTGGAGGAATATCTCATACACTCAATATGATATTAGCTCGAAAACGCAATATATGAGTAAACGAAGTCGTCCAGCCAGCTTGATGATTTTGTAACTTGGAGTTGATGGTAAGCGGTCGTAGAGAAGAAAATTGACACATCCAACCGATCATAATGCTTGGATTCAGGTTTAAACCTGCTTGACGTGCAGAGGGGATGACGATGTCTAAGAGAGTTCCAACCTTGGCCTCATTCAAATTCGTCATTTTCAGGAGTACATCTGTTTCCCCGTCGTTCAGATTTCATATATTCATATTCCAAGAGGAAAGAAGGAATCTAAATACATTCCTACGGTGAAAACCATGAAACGGGTAATATATGAGTTCTTACGTAGCGCCACAGGATCCCGCCAGCAAGCGTGCAATGTCTACCTGCAATTTGGTGCATGACATCGTTTCCCGATGAAGTTGGACATGGCTGGGTACAGCTGCAGACATAAGTGTCAGCCCTACTCAATCCGGGTATAAGCAACGTGATATGCCTATGTGCCGCTGGCATTCACAATACATGCGCTTAATTAGCAAGAGAAGATTGCCCTGTCGTGCTGTGAGGTTCTTCGCGTCATCAAACAGCTGGCAATAGTCGTCAAAACACCACACTAACCTGTCTCCAATCGCTATCTGCGCAAGTACTGCCAGCTCGCTCTGGCCCTGGTTGTACGTTTTGAGTTATCTGCACAAAAGTCGGGATCAGGGGACCACGTCCTATTTGCCCAGCAGGGCACAAAATTTAGAGTTCGCTATTCGAATCGCAGAAAAGCCATTTGAATCCAGTCCGAACTAATGGCAGATAAGGCGAACTAGCGCTACAATGAAGCACTCCACCGGCGAATGAACCCATTTCTATTCTCATACTCTGACAGAGGGTTTCCGCATTCAGTTTGCAGACTCTATGCAAGGTGAAGAAATGATGGAGTGCAATTGTGGATTCACTGATACGGCTACAGCGGTGGCATCTTGCGCACGACCTTTCCTTCGTTCTTTGCATGTACCGTGAGCTTCTCCAGTATGGAAGACTTCGCCCACCGCTCAGGTGGTGTGCGACTTTTAGTCGCCCAATAGTATATGTCCCAGTCCGGTTCGTCAAGTAGCTGGAATGAAACCTAAGTTTGGGACGCCACCGATCAAGGAAACAAAAGCACCTTGTCATACTCCTTCAATTCTGTCTCATCCATTTGCCCCAGGTGATCCCTTGCGAACGTACTTAGCAGAAGGTCGCTCTCCAAAGTTCCGCGCTTCCTGCTCTGATAGATGAGTCTTGCACGCAAGGTCTCCTTGGATTCCCCCGGGCGTGGAATGGGAGTAGGTGGTGGGATATCAGAAGGTGTCTGAGTGTTGGAGAGGTGTTGTGGGGTATGCGGAAGGGGCCATGGGTCTGCAGACCACCGTGATGTCGTAAAGAGTGTGCGACGTGGACAGCGTATGCCTTCAAGAGCCAATATTCGCGAAGAGAGAAACGTAGACATTTTGAGGAGCTTGGCTAGTGAAATCAAAGGTTGTGTAATAATGGACCCTAGTGGATTGGTTACAAGCTTGGTCTGATGAAAAAATTGTAAACATAAGCAGCGTGCGCCTAACTAATTATAAGGATCCATGCAGTATCGGTCACACCGGTACCATGCTACAACTCCGTCATCTATCCGACTCATGACATTTACTGGCAGGGAAGGATACGAAATGGTTCATGTGCACGATCAAGCACGCCGTACTTCCTCTCCTCGGCGCAAATCACAGGTTTCTTGCTTTTCGTGTTTACGACCGCGGAGAGTATTCACGTTCTTGAAATTTGCACTTCCACTGGTTTTTATCATATGTTACACGATATACTACCTCTATGACCCGCGCGGCCACATCGACCTCGTATTATATCAACGAGAATGGATACAGCGCGAAATACTCCCGCTGTCCCCGCTTGGAGGATGCTTTGAACCCGAGCGCGTCAGCCCGCTGTATAATGTCAGCGAGGCTGTGTATGGAAAGAAACGCTTTGAGGTTCAGGCGGGAGTAACGATGCGGATGGGTATGGACTGCTACGAGTTTGCAGGAACAGTCAAGTTTGCAGAAGGAGAGTGGACGGAGGAACAACGGTATATCCCACCAGAGGAGCGAGCACAGTTCCACACATATTGGCGCGTCGATCTCGCGCCTCTCGATGAGAGACAAGAGTACATGCTCAAATCATTCTTCGCTACGCAAGACCTTCCCCGCTCTCGTCTAATACTCTGGTCAAACGGTGACCTATCACCCAATCCAATCGTGCAAAAGTATCTCGACCGGTTCCCCGATTCGTTCACACTTCGGGTTGTGGATATACCCGAGTTAGCCAAGGGCACGCCAGTAGAGAATCACCGTTTCCTCACTCTCGAGGACAAGAAGGCATGGGTGGACGGTGACCTTGTCCGGTTACTTGTCATCTGGACATATGGGGGTGCTTGGATAGACATGGACATGCTCCTGACCCGAGATCTCTCTCCATTGCTTGAGCATGAGTTCGTAACGCAATGGGACTGCTACGGTAATTGGACAATCAACCCACTCTCGCCCACGTACTTACAAGATTCTACAGACAAAATTTACCAAGCATTTAATGGTGCTCTTATGCACTTCCGCAAGCACTCGCCTTATCTCTGTGAAGCTTTCCATCTTATAGCACACAGTGCTCCTCCACGTTCTCCAAGCACCGATTGGGGCGCGATTTTATATCTTCGGCTCTGGCGGCGCCTCCTCAGCGAGTCCATCCCCCCCTTCAAAATTCTACCGTTCTGCCTTTCTGATCCTCTGGCGTGTCGTCTCGACAACAGTGTGCCAGACCCGTTTGACCCTGATCGTCGAGACGGGAAGTGGACGGGCAGACCTGGGGAAGGGCTTGAGGAGGGCGGAGCTCTGGACAAAGCACTAGGGAAGATATTTGCTGTGCATTTACATAATCGTTGGGATAGAGCGTTTCCCCAAGGCGGTTGGGTGGATCGGTTGTTGTTGAGGAGGTACGAGGAGGATATTGAGAGGAAAACAAGAATAGATGGCGAGCTATGATGCATTGATCTGCTGTGAGTATTTTGATCCTGGGCGACAGCAGTAGACGCTAATGACATTTGCCATGGACATGGGCTATAGCACTTATATGATTCAGACTTCTGATGATGCAATGTTTATATATTTTTATTGCAGGACTGGTGTGTGTGGATGATCTCGCCAATCAAACGTATTACATGCATGTGAGCCTCGCAGTGAAATTGTTGCTCGATCAAGTACGCGTATGCAGCCTGAGGATCCATGGAGCATACCAACTCAAATCAATGTCTGAGCTACAGGTGGGCTCGAAACCACACTTATTTGGGCACTATTAATAATCGTGGATTCATCCTCATTATGATCAGGCGGTTACGCCTTGTGCATTGGAATAGGGAATTACTTGGAGGCGAAGCCTAATTCAGAAGCGTCCAGCAGAGTGTCGTGAGGCAGACCACGTCCTTGACACCCGCTGCAGGCACCTGTCTCGTAGGATAAGGGTCTGTTAGCTAAGGCAAGAGGGATGCTAGGTGGCAGGGATGGCAGCGGTTTCGAACCTGCAAAAGTTCTCCTCAGAGGGCTACTGCTACCACAACCGCGCCGACCATCTTGTTCTGTTTGGGAATGATGCTACTGAGCCTATATAACCGCGTTCAACGACCGGCCAGCTGCAAATGGTAACTATGACCCACTTAGTTTTCAGTTGGGGGGGATAGGAAGCTTCAGATCCCAGATCCGGTAGCATCCTAAACCCATTCACCGATGAACCCTAATCGGCCGTTTCTGGACCGACCGGGAATTTTGGCGTCTCCATGCGGAGACGATATCGAAGATTATGTACTGAATACATAATGACTGCTGGACTATATATAATATAAAGGGTTCGTACCAGTCATATTCCTCCGATCACACCCTTGACGATAACAGATGGCTGTTCTTGACATCAACCAAGCTCGTGCTTGCTTTCCGTCCCTGAGATCAGGGCATATTTATGCCGATAACGCAGGGGGGTCACGGACTGCTCAGGCAGTGATCGATCGGGTCGTGGATTATCTGTCCAACACCAACGTACAGCTGGAAGCTGGCTATTCGGCTGTAAACTCTCAGCGCGTTGTTGAGGGCTCCATCGCTGCTGCAGAGTTGTTCAATGCTACATCTCTCGATGAGATTGGGTTTGCATCGAGTTCGACGATGCTATTCGAAAATATAGCTAGAGCACTCGAGAATGATATTCAACCTGGAGACGAATTCATCATCACCTATGAACATGAAGGTGTCTGCCATCGTCTTCTTGTGTCTTTTGTTGAGGAAACTCACTCCTCATCTTAGCCAACAACGGTCCTTGGAAGCGTCTGGCTGCGCGGCGCAATGCCGTGGTCAAATATTGGCATCCCATACCAGTATCTGCAGAAAATCCTTACTCGGTTACATATAGGGTCGAAGAACTTTTGCCACTGGTTTCATCACGCACCAGGCTGGCCGCGATCACCGCGTGCTCCAATATTCTAGGATCTGTGGTTCCTGTGGAAGAAATAGTGAAAGCTCTTCGCCAGCGTGCAAAAGAGCAGGGAGCAATAAAATTCGAAGTGGCTTTGGACTGCGTTGCATACGCATCACATAGAAAAATGGACGTACAAAGGTGGGATGTCGATTACTGCGTATTTTCTGTGTACAAGGTTTCAAAATCCGCGACTTCGATTTGATGTCTGACACTGACATTGTTTGTAGGTGTTCGGGGCTCATAATGCCACTGCTTACGTGCGGTCAGCGGCTCTGCGGACATCCTTCACGTCCATTGTCCATGATTTCCTAAAGGTGGACGACAAGCCCTATAAGTTTCAACCAGGCGGTCCAGGCCACGAGCTCGTGTATGGTGCATCGGCAATCGTGCCATATCTAAAGTCGTTGACTCCAGAAGATGATCTTGCAGCATCTTTTAACGCAATCGCAAAACACGAGCAGGAAATTTTGACGCCCTTGCTCCGCTTTCTGACGGATGCAAAAACAAGTTGACAGGGGTGTTCGCATCTTTGGGACAAGCGAGATTAATGTCTCAAGGATTCCTACTGTCTGCTTTGTTGTCGTCGGACAGAACGCGATCAAGAGTAAAGATATCGTGGAAGCATTTCACAAAAAGGGAGGGGTAAGTCTTTCGGTAATCTCACTTAGTGACTGTGTTTACTTGTGGGCGTTGCACAGATCTCAATTCAATGCGGCCACTTCTGTGCGTATTATCTTATTGATAATTTACGCCCAAAGTTGGACGTGAATGACGGAGTCGTCCGCATTTCACTTGTCCACTATAACACCATTGAGGAGGTGGAGAAGATCGTGGACGTACTGCGGGAAGTTCTGGCTTAGCAATAAGGTGAAGGTGAACATGTATATATGTGGCATCCGAGAATGTATTTTCCTAGTACTACGCAGTCTCGAGGATTAAGATTGAGTAAACTGTACAAGCTGCAATTTCCCAGTGTTTCCTTGCGCCTAGGTAGTGGAGGGTGAAATTTTACCACTCCCTGATGCTTCCATCCTCTCCCCTCCATATCGGGTTACGCCATGCCTCAACGCCAGCTTGACTATGTTCCTTGGCACGAGTACGCACCAGTTCCTCGTTGATGACGATACCCAATCCGGGTCCTATGCAAATGTCATATCAGGCGTTTAGCGGAGAGCATTAAGATTGGGTTGTTGGAGATACAACCCGTGTGGATGGAAAAAGACCGTCAGCATGGTCACTTCTGAGGAAGAGGCAGCAAAGTGTACGGTGCGCGTATGGGCAATCGCAGATCTCTCCAAAAATAGAATGGATCAAACAGGACGGAATTAGCACCCACCACTGGGAGTTGTGACATAGCCGTCTTTCACAGTAAACACACTCGGATCTGCAAGATACGTGAAGAGGTCTGCATCATCGCTGTTATAATGCATCTACATCCAGCCAGTCTTCTAAGTGCCATCTGCCAAAGGATATTGCAGCGAAAAACCCACCTGCCAGCTCATTTCTTGAATGAAATCTAGACGCTCAAAATCCTGATGAGTGCGTGTTCTATAAAGGTGGACCACATACTAAAGACCCACAATTGAGCTTCGACACGCCAACGGCAATACATGCGGCTAAAGCAATTGGTCCCAGCGGACAGTGCGGGGCAAGTGCGACATCGTATGTTTCTGCCATAGATGCGATACGTGCCAACTCCGATATTCCACCGCAATGGGAGACCTTATTCATTTTGTCAGCTGGTTGAAACATGAGGAGATAGGCAAAAACAAGACACAAGAATGGACTTTGGAGTTCAGCTGAGAGGTGAGTACTCACGTCCGGTTGTGCGACATCTAGCGCATGTCCTTCGAAGTAAGGGCGAAATTCATGTCGTGAGTAGAGCCGCTCCCCAGCAGCAATAGGAGTGGAGACGAGACGCCCAAGGTCCGCAAATTCCGAAGGTTGAGTAGGCAAAAGGGGTTCTGAATCGAATTCAGTACTTGTGCGAATGGACCGCACGCATTAGTAAATAAGGATACTTCTCACCCTCAATGAACAAGACACCCTCGCCCTCAAGAAGCTTGGCGAGCTGGCGAGCCATACCCTTGTGTACCCGTCCATGAAAGTCCACTCCAACATCCATCCCTAACGCGCGAACTTCACGTACGCGTTCCACTGTCCCTTTTAAGAGTTCGGGGGAGTCAAGCCACGCGAGAGCCTCTGCGTATGACTCAGACTCGTTGCATCACAAGGTTATAGAGCTTACCAGTGGCATTCATCTTTACAGCAGTGAATCCTTGTTCTTTGCGCTCACGTGCTGCTTCACGGACAGCACTCAGATGGTCGCCACCAATCCATCCATACACACGAACACGATCCCTGACTTTACCACCTAGAAGCTGCCACACAGGAACTCCGAGCTTCTTGCCCTTGATATCCCAGAGCGCAATGTCAAGGCCAGAGAGAGCTGACTGGTCGAGACATACGTTTAGACGAATGTTAGGCAAGGAAGCAGGTGGAGACGCCCACCATTAAGACAGGTCCACCACGATAAAACCGAGCGCGGTATGCGGTCTGCCAGATATCTTCGATACCATCTGCATCCCAACCAAGGAAACGCTGTGCGAGATCAGCGAAAGCGCCTTCAATTGCTTCGGTGTGTCCTTCCAGGGTGGATTCTCCCCAGCCAACGAATCCATCGGCTGTCTCAATGCGCACGAAGAGCCAGCGTGGAGGCACGCGGAAGACCTATATTTGACAGTGAATATGCTGGGAAGCCTGCTACGCGTTGTAGGACGAACCTCGATCTTTGAGATGAAGCTGGAAGCTGAACTTTTAAGGGACATATTTACCCTCTTCAGTGGAGACAGTGAGATGGAATCTCCCTTTAGCAGCTGCATGGTTTGCGATTGAAGTTTGGAGTTTGAGGGTGATCAGCTGAACACGGCCGGTCCGCATAGTACCGACGGACAAATCGTATTCTTGATGTATTTTTGAGCACGCGCTTCAACACACGACCAATGTGCAATGGTGCATGTGTATCGAGCTAGCACACTTGCATCCTGAGTCATAGTAACCGAGGGCAATCAGCCTTCTCATGTGGTGCACAATACCGCAAGTACTAGCTTTTCACTCGTAAAATCAGTTTCGCAATGCTCCGTCATGCTTATGGCCCTGTCCCAAATATCTGTCAAGTCGATTCACCTCGACGAATAATAGATGACCACCAGGAAGATACCCTGTAACTGTAACGATAGCTTGGGTATTGAAGCAGAAAAAACGGGTGACAACATCTCCTGTATGACGAAATGGAGTATATCACATTGAATCTGATGTAGAGGACAAGAGCGTCCCACCGCACATCTCCCAAGTTATAGGTAGTACTGTCATCCACGTTGCACGCTTCACATACTCATCAATCAATGAGGTACTTGCGCTTGAAAAACGACCGGAGATGGAGAATCTGCCAAACGCCAAGGGCCGCGAGGGCAAGAATGGTGAACCAGGCGAAATTCTGCACCCGGCGATTCGTCACAACTGCAAGGAACATAAAATTCATAAGAGGTAATGCGCAGGAATCCGAAGGAAGACTGACGATTGGTGTCTGCAAAACGTTCTTCGCGCTTCTTGAGATATTCGAGCTCGTCGACTATCTCTTTTACAACGCCTTCCAGCTTTCGCATTTCTGTCTCAAGCCCAGAGAGTGATTCTTGGTTTGCAATCGCACTTGATGACAAGGAGGGAGTCAGTAAACTATCATAGCGAACAAACTGGGTACACACTTGTAGTCAACGGCGTCAGCCCCGATATCAATATCCAGATCGACGGTGCGCGACATATTCCGCGCCATGTCTAGCTTGATGTCTATAATGCCATAAGTAATGGCCAATAAGACACCTGGCAACAACAAACGTACCAGGAGATAGATAATTCTTAAAACACACTCCAACCTCTCCCTCGCCATGTGCTGTGACAGCAAGTCTCGTCTCGCCTTTAATGTCGCGTTTTGAGAGATAGACATTGCGGTGGGGGGTTGAATCCAAAATTTCGATGTCTACCCGTTGGTGTGCCCCGGGTCCAACGTTGGCGGTGACAATGACAAGTGCATGGGTATGCGCAGCGTTCCATATGCATTTTGGGATGGGCAAGCGAGCTGCTGGAAGGGCGAATTTGATGGCGTGCGTGAAAGGAGCAAATAACGCGAAGAATGCAAGAAGGGAGAGCGTTGTTATTCGTGCCATGATTAAGTGTCCACTCAGCTATAATTTCGATGGATAGAACGCCCCCTAGCTACCGTTAGTGCGGGAGAGAAAATCGAGCTACAGTAAGCCAGAAGCCAATGGTCGAAGTAAATGGCAGGAGTTGTAAACAACGTGGTAGAACGATGGTACACGGTAATCTATCAGGTTACCGGCAGTGCAACATGAGCGATCTGCCACTCGTCTCGATATACTTTCTTTATAACCTCTCGGGAAACCTGTCTGCTCTTTGATTGACAAACTGATATGTATGGTCTGTAAGAGTTCGTACTAATGTGTTCTCGCACTCTTGTCTGAGGGTACTAAGCATTTACACCTCTAGCTTGTCCAGTCGATTTGAGCTAAAATGTTGCTTTCTACTAGTTTCTAGTCGCTGGCACGGAAGTGGGTTTAAACCTGAACACAAGCGTTATGATCGGTCGGATGTGTTAAATTGCTTCTCTACGACCGTTTACCATCAACTCGAAGTCACAAAGGCGTCAAGCTGGCTGGACACGACCTTGCTCACTCATATGCTGCGTTTTCGAGTCAATATCATATTGGGTGTGTGCTATTCCTCTATTCAGGCTTCCCATTGCCCGAGCGGCAGTGAAATTGGCCCAACAACGATCATAACGACCAACTCAGCAAGTCACTAGGAATCGAGCCATGAATAACTCCATTGAATACGAAGGTAGAAAAGTGACTCACTCTCGCGACGTGCCAACTCTTCAGAATTTTGCCAGTTCTTAGGATAGCACATCCCACCACAATTCTATTACAAAGTGCAAAGGGTCAGTCGCGAGGTTGAATCCTGTCATTGGATCCAAAGCAAACTCACAAAATTATACCCGCACTTTCCAGAGCAGCACTCGGAGCTTTCGCCGCAAGATTCGCCATCGGCAGTACATGCCCTGCTGAAAACACCTGGTGTGGCACTGACAGACATAAATGCTGTCAGGGCAGCAATGACGGCAAGCAAAGAGAAACGCATTTGGTTGCACGAGGTACTGTATGATCTATTCGAGTTCGAATAACTCTCAGATGGCAGGGAGACGCTTTGCTTTTATATCCTAAGGACCCCGCTAAACATTCTGGGAGCAAACCATAAAGACCGTTCGTCAGCTCTGTAACTGACAGGAGAAATGGAGACTAACGGTGTTGGGATAGATTTAAATCATGTGCCAGTGGCCTACGTATTGTTTGGAAGTTCTGATTGCGGGCTGTTCGGGTCCGATTAGGGTGCATGTATGGCCCCGACCATGCCCCAAGACTTCTCAAGTTATGTAGGACGAGGATGGCTGAGGGGGGCCCCGATGTGGCACGACACTGAACACATCCTGGCCTGATAACCAAGTTTAGTACAAGTCTACCTCTCATGCCGTCGCTATCATGTGCGCCATGACGAAGACTCAACCTCCACTACTTACATAATACTAGTGAGACGGTTTCCTTGATCAGACAGTGGAGCCGCTTTCAAACTGAGTGCATCAGGAAACGTAATTCATTACAGAGTGTTACAGAGCGCTCTGTAGCACTCTATAGTGAATTACGTTTTCCTGATGGCCCGCCGCCCTGTGTGTTCGTCTTGCGCAAGAACGAGATTCACGGCTTTCGACTATAGGTTAGTGTGGTGGTTTGATATGACTACGGCCTGCTGATCGATGTCGTTGAGGACCTCACAGCTCGATTCGGACGGGTGGATGATATTCCCCTGCTGATCAAGTGTATGTGTCGTGAATGCCAGCATCATGGCTGAACCTAGGTATATTACATATCGACTTTGCTTGTATCCAGATTAACTATGGCTGGCATTTCTATCGGCCCATCCGTTATCACATCTCGTTTTCGCAGTGCATGAAATCGAGAGCCGAGTGAACGTGTCTAACGTCAATCGGAAACGACAACGATGGAGAATTACATATTAGACGTTGCGGCCTTGCCACTGGTGCCGCACACTATCGCTATCCCTGGTCTGCAAGACCGTTTCGACGTATTTCGACAAGTAGTAATTACTGCTCCGCCTAATCCGCTCGTCAGCGAATCACCAAGGCAGTGGCGTGTTAGAGCCACACCTGAAGTGCCTCCTGAATGTGGCCGGAAGCCTGGATCCCCCGCTAAGTTTGATATGGCCCTGACGAGCAATGGCATTCAGACGCGCACTTTATAAGGTGAGTGACTATTACTTGGGCTGTCGAAAAATTCATTTGGATATTGTACTAGGTGTGCGAGTTGCACAAGTTCACGTTATCTTCACCCTGTCTCGTCAGTTTGGGACATACTCCCGGGCCCGAGCCCTAGTTTGCATTGAGTGGTTCACACCACTCAGGGAGCCGGACCCCTTCTCTGGCCTGCATCAGGTGTCACATTCGACTCATCGACTGCACTGGAATGCAGCTGTGATACATGTCGATGAAAACGCTTGTCCTTGTCATCTTATTCCAAAGATGGGACAATCTGTTGATCGTGGATGGACCAGCGCAAATGTCTATGAGTTGGCAAGTGATTTCTACTTAAATACCTTTATCGACCTTGATACACTCTGCATGTCCGCTATTAATTAGTTTTGTTACTACTCAGCCACTATTGACTATGAACTTAAAATTTGCTATTGTGACTCCAATCGTAGCCCGCTGTAGCTCTATATAGTCTGAGTTGCGGCTACATCAGATACATAGAACTATGGTAGCTATTTAGTGTACATAGCTGTCATCAGGACTCCCGCAATTTTTGTTTTTTCCTGATGTAAGGCATCAAATTGGAACCCTTTCTTTGGTTTTGTCGTGGGTTGCCTTTTTATCCGGTTGAGATTTGGTGTCTGCGCTTTCTACCCGTTGGTGTTCATCTTCATGTTTGTTCGTTGCATTTCTATGTGGTCGAAATTTGGTGTCTGCCCTTTCTATCGGGTGGTACTCGTGTTCTTCGTCTTCGTTGGCTGCGTTTCTATCTGGTCGAAATTTCGTCTCTGCCCTTTGAGTGAGTTATATCTGGTGGCACTCATCTTCATCGCCTGCATTCGTTGTGTTTATCATCAGCAGTTGCACTACTCGGGTAACCTACGTGTCTATTCGTACGCCACTGCATACCCTGTGTATTGCTCGATCCTCGACAACTTTGGCCTTGACTCGATAACAAGTGTGATGAACGCCTCGAATAATTGCTGTCCCAACAAAGGAGTTGGAGTCTTTGGCGCGTATTCGCCGGTACCCATGCAGTGACATATAACGGGATGGAACAACGGACTCAGAGGCTGCCCGTAAATCTAACGTAGTGACATCACGAGCCTCTCTCACGCCTCAAGGCCTCAAGAACTGTCATTGCATTCGCTGTGTATACGCCTTCTATGCGCATTGACGAGTACTCTAGTCTAGAGTACCCGCCAATGTGCATAGAAGGCGTACGGCACTACATTCATATTCAGTGTGTTCGTGCCTAGGGGGAGAATCTGGTGCAAAAAGGAACGTTTCAATCCGTGGTATATTCCAGATCGTCGATACATGCGTCATAATCTTTGTGTGCAGCCTTGCCTCGCCATCTAGTCACCTTCGTGCGTAGTAAGTGCTCGATGTCGTGAACCCCTTCACATGCAGACAGTGCTATGCGAAATTTATTATACCACGGCCGCCGAGAGCTGATGACGGCAGTAAGACATGCGACTCTGCGAAGATAGCTGCACGAGCAACATACCACTGAAATTCAATAAAATGTCTAACATGAGTCTCGATAGTCTTATGAGTCGCAATATCAGGGAGTTCTTTGCAGATTTCTAGGTATTCAAGAGATACTCGAACGGGGTCTGGGATGACATTTGCAAATATACTGTTCATATATGATCAACGACGTGGTACCAGGAAATGGGGGATAGTGGACAAACCAAGGGTTGCCTAGCAAGGATTCTCCCACCATGATGCCATCAGCTTGAGTCTCATCCTTGTTCCTCTGTATATCTTCCCATGTACAAACGTTGCCATTGCTTACAACTGGTACTCTGAGTGCTGCCTTCAGAGTGCGAACCACATCTAGATCTGCGGTGCCCTGACGCCGTCGTCTGGCGGATACGTGACGCGCATGAAGGGCTATCCAAGATGCACCTGCCTGTTCCAGAAGGGTGGCAAATTCAACTGTGGATGATGGGGGTGACGATGAAGGACAGAGACGTAGTTTTACGGAAGTCGGTGGCTGCAATAGGTGGGACATCGCAGAAACTAGAATCACATGCTCACCAATTGAGAGGGTATTCAATAAAGTTGAAACTGCTTGCCTATGGTCTGGACGAGTGGCCGATCCTTTTTGGCTAGAAGATAGCCGCCGTAATGACTTTCACGAGCATGCTCTTGTGGGCATCCTAGGTTCAAATCTAATAACTTTGCAGCTGATTCAGTTGCTAATACATTTCACTCGAGAAATTACACCCACCAATACCGCTGCACAAGCCCTGTATCTTCTTTCCAGCTTGAACGATGACCTCAGGGTCATTGCCACATAACTGTACCACCACCGGTCCCTCCGTCTCACTACAAGCATCGCGACCAAAAGTCAGATCACGCTGATGAAACTCGAGGTAATCTCGATCCTCAAGAAGCTTGTGAGGGTCAAGCATCTGCGTATACGCGAGAGTTACACCATATCGCCGCGTCAACAGCCGGAAGGGAGCATCACTTTGCTTGACCATAGGAGCAGCGATGTAGGTGAGATCTGGAAGTGCCATTCGAGGCCAGTGAAGGTGTCACTTGGTCACTGTCTATATCCGAGTCACTGCCTGGCCTTGTTGCGACATCAATCTCAGGTACACTTGCTGACTAATGTCGCCCAGACTCAAAATTATGGCCAGTGGCACTGGCAGCATGATGACGGTCATCGACTGGATCCAACACTGTTCATTGTGAGTACTTGACGCATGATGTGAGGTCGAGCTAAGCTTCACAGCGGCAAGCCACGCTCATGGTTTGGTGATGCGAAGTGATTGTGCGCAAACCCTGTGACTTGCCAGTGAACGTGAAAGGTGCTCGCCGGCCTCACACTATGCAACTGGCGTGGTGCACAAATACCACGATAACCGTGTAAGCTGTTCACAAGCTTCTAATTACTCCCAGGAGGTGTTCGATTCTGTTCACGATGTCACTAGCCAGCAAAGTTAGTGGCTCTCGCACTTGCATTTCCCTTCGCCGCAGTCGCACGTGACCTGAACGTGCTATCTATATGGTATGCTAGTGGAACTTTGTCTTTATCTCGTAGCATATTGATATTCGTTAACTTCTGCTGTACACAGGATCCTAGTGTTTCCATTTCTTTTCTAGACTGTGTCTCAATTGCCTAAAATTGCATCAACGCCCTCACTGTTATTCTTGACACTGGCATAGCTGGTGCCAGTGCATTCAGTTGCGACTCACAATACATTATATTGAGAACTTGGGTATCGGCAAAATGCAAACGTGCTCTCCGTGATGAATAATCTGGACTCCTTCACGAAATCGACGGCAAATCAACAAGCGGTGACGGATAGCCTAGATGCTGCCTTAAACTTATATACAGGTTACGGTACGTATATCCTTATAAATTTGGAACGCCGTCTTACTCTAACCTATATCGTGAGGCAAGGTAAGTTTCGTTCTTGTGACATCTTGTGTGAGATAGTTCATCTCTCGCCAGTATGATGACGCAACGTAAGCCTCTGTATCTCGTATGGTTTCCTGCTGATCCCCTGTGGCAGGTGATGGGCTACGGCAGCTTATTATGACTACCGCCCGTATGGGATCTAATCATGTCATTTAGCAACACACCTCGAAATAGTGAGTTGCTGTATATATCGGTGGTAACACTCCTCGCATAACCGAGCTGTAACATAAAGTGTTATCACTGGAGCCCTGGAAAACAGCCCAACAAGGACTTCCCTGTTGATTTGTGATGGTGTGTTAATAAATTATCGATTTGTTGAGGTATTGTCTGACATAGAGCTAGAAACTATGGTAGGGGGTTTTTTTATGAGTAATTGAGAAACTCATATTCACTCAACGATGGCGAGGCTGAAATGTGCCCCGCGCCCCTCGAGCGTTGACACTGGCGTTAACCTCTATTACTACTGGGTATGGTTTGATATTATTTCATCTTGAAATGAGCTCATCTAGTCCGGCAGAGCCTCTATATAGCGTATGCTTCTGTGCTTCACTAAAGTAAATGCAAGTTACCATTGATCTATGTCTAGTCCCTCGGCCTACCTTGCGTCTACAACTGGAAATAGCGCTCACATCGATATTGCAATTCTCTCTGCTAACTTTATCAAGGGCACTGCATGAATCCTGGGGATCTCGTCCTTGAAACGACTAATGCTCTGGACTACACGCGTTCTTCATCTAACTGGCTATCTACAGCAGCAGCAAGTGTATTGAGGGTTTGAGCATCTTTGCATCTGTCACTGGCAACACTAGCTGCACTTCACTGTGAGTATTCCTCTTCATCCCGTTGACGGTACTATTGACTTTTTAGCATGCTGGACGTCGTTGCCGCATCGACAAAAGTACCTGCATGGGAAAGCAGTCATGGTATCATCACCGAGGCGCCTACGTCACAAACGACAACGACAGCGTTGGATTCAAGGGTGTGTTTCTCTCCCTCGTCACTCTATTTCAGCTGACACGCGGGCCGTGCTCTCAGCCATACTCATCCACGGCTTAGCTGGAGTTGCAACCCTGATGACGTTGCCTTCAGGGCTCTTATCCGGAGCTATACAGACGTCCAGGCACGCTTTGTCCTACCGTTTACGTTCATTTCTCCGATTAAGCTATGCAGTCTAACGCGTTGCTTGACCTGGAGTCGGGTAGTAGTTCCAGCTCTACTTGGTACTTACCTGCCTCATGGGGACAAGCTCGTGGCCGTAGATGTCCTAGTGTCCGCTGCGAGCGTCAATGACTGATAAGCTGGAATCATGGATCTTTCACCGAGTCTTGATATGCATGTTGCTCATAACTCGTCATTGTTGATCAAACGACAATGACCCGCAACCGCGATAAAGGAGAAGCGGGACGGGGAGCGAAGCCTATGAGGAACAGATCATCTACTCTCGACCGGAACTTCTAGGCGTAGGGGTCCTGCGCTACGATTTACCTCTCGGGTGTATTGAGTCTCGACTATGCATAATAATCACCGTTAGCTTGCCAAAAGCAGATAAAGTGGAAGTAGAACAGTGGTACTTATTCCGTAGTCAGGAATTCACCTGGACCATCAGCGGAAATGGCCGTACAAGAGGACCAATTCGTGTCACTTCGAGATAGCACATTGGTTCATGATTGCGGTCAACTGTATCTTGTTAGACTGAGCCCGTTTAGTATCTTGTTTCAGGTTTCGTATCAGCCTCGAGACGCGCGCGGTTCTCCGGACTCGCAGCTTCTGACCATAATTTTTTCTCGGTTATAGTATATAGACCTTCGGTATATGTAATTGGAGATAAGAGTGCACGCACATGTACCCCAAGGGTTCGACTAACCGGCCGATAACTCTATGCATGTGAGCATCCAGCGGTTTAGATATAGCAATTTTACTCACATGTTTGATTCAGGTGTGCAAAGTCATTGCAATCGCAAAGCCGAAATCATTGAACCGTTACATAAGTTCAACAAGGCTTCAGTCCGGCTGACCAACTATCAACCAAACATTGCAACTTCTTCCCTACTAGTCTGACATTCCTTATTCTTTCATCTGACCATTTCGCACACGCCGCGACACGCTCGCGTTATCCGTCTGCTCCGCTGCTTCTCTCAGTGACTAATATAGCATCGAAAATACGTGGATAGTCCGTTCCATGCCATTGATGCATAACACATTGTTCAAGCCTGTTCCCTCGGTGGCGCGTGTGTGCAGTGGACATCAATTTTTCGATGCAACAACTACGTAGAACGGAACAACAAATCCATAAAACGGATCATTGCTCATCTGAGGGTAATGGCTCTGCCAGCTGTACTACATCGCGAACCATATCATTGGTTCAAGCGGCGCAACGTTGCTCGTCCTTCTTTTTCCCATCGACCTCGGCCCCGGTTCTCCTGATGGCGTGTATGAGCTAAGGGAATTCGGCGCTACCAAAAACGATAACGGTTACCCAGGATGCGCGCCTGATTTAGCACGAACTGTTCTCGAAGATTCACCCCCGCGTCCCTACGTTCTCAGCGCATAGGACTTTCTCAAACTCGAGAATTGCCTCCGCTGCAAGTCCGCAAAAGATAATGGTACCAGACCCTCGGCTTCCTTTCCTTGTACAATTGTAGCGCCTTTCAATCATCGCGGGAGAAGAAGACACCCACTTCTCATGAACCTGCGGCATGGAAGCTTTTCCGCGGTGTGTCAACAGAGGTAAGCGCATTGCGTGAGGTTCTACACCTTTTGCTTTTGAGGGTCAAAGCGCTCGGTCTAGTAGCATCGTCGGTGAAGGGACGTGACCTCCAGGTCGCTTCGCTTCCAATTGAGGCAGTTTGATCCACGTAGTTCGGTCAGTTACGTCTTGTTGAGCAAAAGCAGCAAAAGCGCCTGATCTGCCGATAGCAGGTGATCATTGTGGTGATCAACTCTTGCGCTCAAAATTCCCGAGTGGGACAGCTGCTTATCCCAAACTGTCACAGTGAGCGCTCAGCGTCCAAAGTCAAGTTGTACCTCCGAGCCGATTAAATTCTAATGAGTATTCCTTCGTCACTATGGACTCACCCGCAACAAAATAAACACTGATGAATTCGCACATGTCCCGTCGGTGTCGTGGCCCAAATGCAGAATCTTGTACAACCTCACCCGAGCTCTTATCATTCTGCAGTGCCTAGATCGCTGGGAGTAATTCGGCTATCAGTGGCTCCAGGGAAAGTATCGCTGCCGCTGGGACAACTCAAACTATTGAAGTTTGCGGTTTTTGCCATACGCTGGCAACTCGGAGCAATGACGGACGTCGCATACTATGGCGCGCGCAAGTACGACGTAACACGTTAATTCCATACCTGATGTATTTACTACAGTCGCGGCTTCGGTCCGTCTCGCAAGCAAACACCAAATTCGGCCGCGTCAGGATAACAAAATGAGCTTTTTGCAGAAGATCTCGCGAGACAGTGTCAGGAACGTGAACTAACTTCGATAATCGGAGGCAGCATCCATTTTCCCCTCAGAGTTTTGTTTTAGCACAACGGGAAAGTGTATCTGCCATTTGTCATTGTTGCAACGGACACCTTGCTAGCTCAGCACTCAGCCTTCTTTGATGCTACGTAAGTTTCTTTCACTCCAACAAAGAGACGCACACATTTCGTGCGCGCGCGCGCGCTACAAATACTGAAGTTCCTTTACCGGCGAGACCGACCCGGTTTCAGGAAGGAGACCAGATGTGGTTGTCTGGGCGTTAGACATCCGATGATGAGTCCTGCTTGGGTATGGTTGGAGAAGGCGGGAAGAACAAAAGTTGGGACTTCAAAGACCAACCTTGATTTGCAAGACCATATTCCACGGACCGGCGGATACTCCTGACCGCACTACATTTCATTGAACTAGGCTGCGCAACGCGGAAGCGAGAATTATACAACCACAGGACCGAACGCCGCCGGGGGGTCAAGCTTGATCTCAAACGCGCGGTCGGCGGTAAAACTCACTGAGTACACATTCCATAAACTTATATTAACTGAACATCGTACCCTGCAGGTCGTTTCACTTCGGTTCGTTTCACTTTGAAATTCGAAGTCGGAACGAGTTTGCACCCCGTTTCCATTCACCTCACTTCGCGGTAACAGTGACATTACGGAAAAAAAATGGCTGCGAATATTTATTTATTGCAAAGGGAGTGCGCGTAAATAACATACAAATGCCCCGTAGGATTATCCGAGATGCCTGTGCTGAAATATGAAAAGTTACATTACAACGTTTGTAGCTCTTTAGTCCGTCCTCTAGATATAAAGATGCAAGATAATAGATGAGAATCATGATGATGAAGGCCCAATTACAATCTTGATAACCATGTTTCCATCCTCGTCTTTGCCACGAGCCATTAATTCAAAAGCTCGAGGAGTATCTTCCAGGGGAATGCGGTGTGTAATAAGTTTTTCGACGTTGCGGAGTTTGCCCGATCCAAGCAACTTGAGAGCTTCAGGGTACGTGTTGGCGTAACGGAAGGACCCTTGAATGTCTACTTCACGCAGGGCTGCCGCGGAGAGCGGAAGCATGACGTTCTGTGACCCCATTCCAACCAGCATGACTTTGCCACCCGTAACAGCAGCCTGAAAGTTGCAAGTCAGCGATGATAGAAGCTTCGCACAGACTATTAACTTACGTGAATCGACATCTGAATGCAGGGTTCAGCGCCCGTACATTCGAAGACGACGTCAAAGCCCTCAGGCTCGTTGAATTTAGACAATGCAGTTGAGACATTGTCTTTTGCACGTCGAAGCTGCTCATCGGTCGTTTTAGCCTTATCGACCATGGGCAAGCAGTGCGTTTGTGAAGCGAAACCGTGCGACTTCGCAAAGTTCAGTCGCGCCTGGTTAATGTCAATGGCAACGACCCGAGAGGCACCATACGCATTGGCTAGTGCACAAGCGAGGATACCAATGGTACCCACACCGAACACGAGAACACGCTGACCTGAAGCGAGGTTGACTCGTCTAGCAGCGTGTATCAAAACTGACAGCGGCTCAGCCAAGGCGGCTTGTTCGAAGCTGCAGTTATCAGGGAGTCTGACGAGGAGTTAGAGTGTGCGGAGGAACAGTTAAATGAAGAGCTCACGGATGAATAACGTGCGTCGGATGATTCATCCGGTCTTGTAGGGTCCCGTCAAGATGAGGGAAGGTTTTTGCGCTACTGGCAAAACGCATGCCCTTACACAGATTGTAACGGCCAGCCTGGCAATAATTGCACTGTTTGCACATGATGCCGGCCTCTATTGCAACGCGTTGGCCAATAACTAGATTTTTCACACCCGGACCGACAGCAGTAATCACACCTGCTGATTCATGGCCGAGGACGAGAGGTGCTTGGAGTGCAAAATCACCATTGCGACCTTCTAGATAATAGTGCACTAGGAAATTTGCTCGAAGCTCAAACTTTTAGAACGCAAAAAAGACTCACAGTCACTTCCGCACAATCCGGTTGACTGTACTGCTACTTGCACATGGTTGTAATGTGGAGGCCAGAACGCGCGTTCTTCGAGACGAAGGTCCTTAGGACCGTGAAGGACGACTGCACGCTGCCATTGAACCGTAACGGGAGACATATTTGTGATGGGTGGAGGGAAAGTGTTAAGGGACGTACATCCTAGTATCAACCGGTGCCCTTATATATACAATATAAAGTTGCAAGAAGGAGCAGTCTCGTGAGGAGAACTTCATCTTGAACTTATCATTCAACCTGATTAGGAAAGATTTATTCGGTCCGGTTGACCGCAAACGTATTTGCAAAATGCGAATCAATAACACAACGTCACATGTGACACCCGCTTTTTCGGACTGTATATGGCCAAATCGGGGATCTACGTGACAAATATATTATAATCTCCATTTTTACAAAAAAAAATCATTTATCGAAATCTCGCTGCCAATTATTCGGGTCGTGAGCCGATGCGGGGTAAAATCAAATCTTGGCAACAAAATGTTACCTGCCTGCGACAATATAAAGATCCAGGTGAGTCTTCAATCTACGTGAATCTTTCTCAAAATGGATCCAACCCCCTCTGTACCATCTCCACAACTCTTTTCTCTGGCAGGCCAGAATGTCCTCATCACCGGAGCTACTAGAGGTAACGTATTCGTTCCTCGCCCAGAACTTCGCTTCAACTGATCAAGGCAAATTCGATTTGTTAACTTGGTTCTTACCGTTGCGATTGATAGGCATAGGTGCTGCATGCGCTTTGGCTTTAGCTCAAGCGGGTGCCTCGATATGTGTTGTTCAGCGCCGTCCTTCTCCAAATGCGGAGCCGAATATGGATACAGTGAATGCCATTCGTGCGCTAGGCGCGAACGCGCAAATTGTTTATTGCGACTTAGGCAACTTGGATTCTGTCAGGGAACTTTTCCCCAAGGCACTGGAGCTCATGGGCGGTAATATTCATATCCTGGTCAACTGCGCTGGCATACAGCGGAGATCGCCGAGTGTCGATTTCCCGGAGAAGGACTGGGATGATGTGGGTTATCCACTCAAGTTCTGTTTAACCTCCTTGGCATCAGATTCTCAAACGATACATATTTCTCTCCATTATTCATTTTAGGTTCTCGACGTGAACCTCAAATCTGTGTGGCTTATATCACAAGCGGCGGGCCAGCATATGGTTCCGCTTAGAAGAGGAAAAATCATTAATTTCTGTTCCCTGCTGACATTCCAAGGCGGCCTCACCGTCCCGGCTTATGCCGCCGCTAAGGGTGCACTCGGCCAACTCACGAAGGCTCTCAGTAACGAATGGAGCCAGCATAACGTCCAAGTGAACGGCATCTGTCCGGGGTATATCGCCACAGACATGTACGTGTATCTTTTCTTGTTATCGCATGGGCATCTTGTGAAATCACCCCCTGTTATGTGAACCCGTGACGTTAGTGATGGTTTAGCAACACCGACATCTTCCCGCCGGCTGAGCCTCCATTTCGCACTTTCCCTCTCTTTGCAAACTCTTATTATCCAGCTCTTTGGCGTCTATTTTTATTCTCCAGACTGACCGCTTTCTGATATACCTTTAGGAACGAAAGGCTGCTAGCGGACCCCACCCGCCTCAGACAGATATCGGAGCGGATACCCGCAGGGAGGTGGGGTAGCCCCGGAGACTTTGCTGGCCCGGTGGTGTTCCTTGCCAGCAGCGCAAGTCAGTACGTCTGTGGCGAACTCTTGGTCGTTGATGGCGTATGTATATTTCGCAGCTTGGTATCATAATCCTACTTATGCGTCGTTATCAGGGCTGGATGGGTCGTTAAACAGAGACTGCCACTGTTCTCACGACAACGCGGAGAAATCAAGAGGTTGTAAAATTCATGTACATATCTAGGAAGCGCTCGCAAATATGAAGTCAGTCTGGCAGTTTGCGACAAGGCGTCTTGCTGTCTCAATGCGAGGAAAAAACTATATCATTTTTCGGACTTCACCATGAAATAGCATGTTCCATAGTAGATACATGCCATAAGGTTATAGGACATACCATTTCCCAATGCTTTGGGTTGGGCTAGTATGGTGAACGATGACGAGCCCCCAAAGATAGCCTATCTTGCCTCAGGCCCGACCGCCGATCATATTTTACTCGGTGACGGGTGACGTCGAGGACTAGACAAGAATAGGCAAGCGTGATACAGAGACATGACTTTTAAACTAAGCATAGATCTTGGCATCATTTCTCCACCAATTTCATTGCTTCAAATTTCATAGCTATGGTATAAGTAGTTTAAGCGCAACAAAATATGTTGAGGCAAAATTGAGTGGGTTCTAATTATCAGATCACTACCATCGGTAATACCCGATACAGGGGCGACCTTCCAATTTGCGGCTCGCCATCAAGCATTTGCCGACGCCGGGCCGTGTCTTCCGGATAAAGACTAGCTAGTAATAGTGATTAGGATACTGCCCATTGGTTGCCCATATGTTGTTGTTCGTGACAGGAGACCATCATGATCACCACTACCTGTGATTATATTGCCAGGGCACGTGTTCATTATTCCCATTCGAAAAGCCGAGTATCACAAGCTGATACCAAAGGCCTAGGGCAGGTGGCTACAGCCGGGCTACCAGCCCTCGATGGTTCCAAAGTCCAAACCATACATGTGTGCGCCGCCGAAAATGACTGATATCATTCTGGATTCTGGTACGTTTTTAATATCCACTGCAATAGGAAAACTTGACCAACATGATGAAGACACGGTAACAAGGCTTATGGTTTAACTTAAACTCAACCAAGGTTCACCATGACGTTGATCGTCACGATGCACACACCAATCGCATCATTCCATTCAGAATGGGCGGGTCTCCATTACGGTGGTGGTATATCTAGGGCTTGCTATTCGGCTGCGGATCCAGTTTAATCACGAGTACGTGGCACTTCTGGCAAAAGCAAATGAGGGGATGAACCTCGGTGAACGAATTCCCTTCGGTGTTTATGAGGAAACGAAGAGGGGCGAGCATTGGTGCCGGGTCCTACTAACCAACAAAGATATCGCCAGCATTATCGTCCGACTCGGGAATTGCACGTGTAGGCTACAAGACTACCTGTGGAGCTAGATGGATGCTTCTGAGTCAATACAGGATGTCACCTTGTGATCTGCGGCCCCATCGGTGAGGGAAAGCGGTTAACGCAAGGCAGCAACTCAATCTATTTTTTCATGCATGATCAGGATAAGGAAGACGAAGCAGACAAGAAATGACAAACAGATGCGTGCTTGCAGCGGGATTTCCCCGCAAATCTCGCGTCAAACTAGCTCCAACTTGTAAAAAACCCGGTCACATCGTGAAGTTAGTCATATATTCGTGTTCGCTCAACAAGATAGTATATGGGCTTCGAATTCGTATGCGTATTAGAAGCTCTTCTAGTTAAAGCTTTTCAAGCTAACCCGCCGAGAGTCGTGCAAGCGTAAAACGATTAGATACATCATGCATGGGCGAAGAACTGATCATTAATATCCGAGAAGGATCTTCTGATAGCAACCCCAGCCTCGAGTGCACGTACACGCGGACCGGTATTCCTGAGGGGGGCCGAATCATTCGTATACATATGAAAGGCTGGTCCAAGGGCTTCCAAGGGTCGTTGTCCGACGCTGTTAGCCGTGCCTTGTGATGTCACCACTGGCAATAACGTAGCTTATCCGGACGTTCGGTACGATTCAATCCACTTCAGGTGTACATGGTGCGTCCTACGCAACTACCATATCGTGAAACATCTGTTGTGCCTAGATATTATTTCTGATGAGAATACAATAACCACGATGAGATGGAGCCAAGTGGTGCGGACCGTGGGGTTGGCCAATATTGTGTAGTGGTCGGGGCTCACATGAACGGCTAATGGTTCATAAAATGTTATTCGCAGGCGATCTTCAGCCGGGCAAAAGTAGTTCTCCCTAGACGGACCATACGAAGATAGGGTAAAGGTTTAACGTCATCAGACCACCTACCCTTCAATTCTCGCCTTGAAGTTGCGACATCAACAAGCGCTTCCAGTCCCAGTCTGAAAACTTTGATAGGTCGATCTGTTTGCGGGCTGCCGGGCTGATTGAGCGGGGCACAAACAAACGTCGATATTAGCATGGTGATGTTGCTACGTCTCGATTGGATCAAAGTCGGACGACATACATTCCATTGTCATGAGCTAGCGAGGGACTATCTAACAAATCCTTTCGGCGATGGCAAAAACTCGCAGTGCCGCAGTCGCATATGCTAAGAAATTACAATGGCTGAGTCCAGGAGAGCATGAGACAACTGGTACATACAGTTCCATGCGAGGTCAATGTGTAGCGCTGGATCAATTAACTGGGCATTGTTCAGTCGAGATAAGTATCTAACCACATCATCGGGCCACAAAGGCCTTCCCCCCAGCCGCGGCAACCTCGCTAGTGCCCGGACCGAACTAATGTTCAGTCCTCGCCAAATCACAGGTTAGCCCCACAGAAGTCAACGGAGATGAAAGCTGGAAGTCGCCTTTGAGTCGCTTCATGCACAGATTTCCAGGACGTAAGATAGAATCTTCGCCTTTGTATTCTCAGTACCTCTCAGGCAGACCAAGTAGAGGGAAGATGATCGTTCCAACCTCCAGAACATCCTGAGCTACTGTGGGTAGAGAAACGGGTTATACTCGTCAATTAAGGGAAATCACGAACATTGGTTGATTGAGCCTTGGTCAACGCCAACCGTGTTGCATTCGAAGATCAGCAGACTGCCTCGTGCAACTCGTTAATGACAACCTTGGTTACTTCTCTGGAAACCCCACGAGCCAGTTGCTTCATCTCCGTTGATTCTTCAAGAAGTGAGCGGTGCTGCAATGACCCGAAAAGCTGATACAAGCGTTGAATGAGGAGCTTCATTGTCTGCATTCATAGGTCAATGTGATACAGCCCAATCGTGGCATAGGAGTTGATGTTGTAGAACTTTAAGCATGCCGCAGTCATTAACCGATTGTGATCATGGTAGTCATTCAGTCAGGCAGACTCATCAATCTAGTGCTCGGGTTCATCCGATTCGTCAATAGTACTACCGTGATTTCATTAAGATACTGGACTGCTCGAGGTTGATATGCGCTGCAACGGCGACTGGACTGTGAATTCATAGAGTTGTGGCGTATTAAGTGTAAGTTCAACAGCCACAAAGTTCGATTCACAGACGCGACTGATCAAAATGACATTGTTTATCAAATCTTCAGGAGGGGGAAGTCTTGATGGGTTCTTCTGGGAATAAGGATAATGTTCGGTAGAGCCTCGATTAGATTACCTGTCTATCTGCGACAACCATCGCCCTGGTCTTCGGCCCAAGTCTTCAGTGAACCACCATTCGTCAAGCTACAAAAATGTCAGATGGCCCCAAGACCTGTTGGAATACCTGATGGGTACAAATCCCTCGCTTACGCGAGGGGTTTGTACCTGGATAGGGGCTGTAAGGGGGGGCTGTATGATAAGGAGCGCAAAAAGTGGATGAAGAACGAGAGGGAGATGTTTGATGGGATGGACCAGAAGGGCGATGTGATGACGGTTATGGGGGCTATTCAGCAGATAGCAGCTCAAAACTCAACACCGGGAGGCCCACTCCGCTCGTAGCCACGCATTCCTACTATGAGCACAACCCGGATCGATACCCCGAGTGAGACCACCCTTAACATGTCTGAGTCGCACTCTTGACCTCGGGTGTCAAAAGATATTAAGATAGAAGGGTACTCCATAAATGTGTTTGAAAGCCCTCGAACATCAGAAATAAAGAGGAAATTCAGGTGTGGAGTCCACAGGTAAGCTCCTTTGAGCGATTACCTCTTGCAAGGGGGTTGACAAATCATCGGATGGATAGGAAAAACGACGTCGTGACCCTTACTTAGGCGCTTTAGGAAACTGGGATTCTGGACGATATTTGATTGCACGTGGTGCCCGAGACAAGCGGAATGTACTTTTAAATTATCCAAGATAGGCCAGACGTAAATGGCCCAGACAGTCGTGCTTTCATGCTGAGGTCTGAGATCGGAGGACGAGGGCCGGTGGTACCTGAATGACAAGTACTCAAGGTGTCAATGTCCAGGATACAAGTCGAGTAACCTCACTTTCCGACTTGAAGTTACCGCCAATTTCACGGCTGTCCGGGCAGCTATCGCTCAAACAGAGAACGACAAAAGCACTAGATCCCAATAAGATAATTATAAAGATAATACAACGCCTAACGATACAGCTGATAACAGAGGGTTCTTCATTTGCCACCAGAGCTCGAGAACTGTCTCAGCTGTTAGGAACGACTTGTGAATACGATTGACGTAAATCTCACCTTCGTCACGGATTTCGTGCCCTCAGAAATAGCATGCTTAGCAAGCTCTCCGGGAAGTATGAGACGGACTGCCGTCTGTATTTCACGGGATGAAATTGTCGATTTCTTGGAATATGCAGCGAGCTCTGGAATTAATGGTTAAATGAGATCAAAACAAGGTGAATGATACATACTTGAAGCTTCCGTAGCAATGCGCTCAAAAATGTCGTTGACAAACGAGTTCAAGATGGCCATAGCTTTATTAGATATGCCAGTGTCTGCGTGTACCTGCTTGAGCACTTTGAAAAACACGTCAGATCGAAAACTTTCTGATTGAACATGGCGCGTTACCCTTGTAGATGTAGGAAGAGTAAGTCTCCTTGCGGACTTTCTTTCGCTTCTTCTTTTCCTCTCCAGTAGCTGGGGCTGTGGCAGTCTTAGAGGTCTTCTTTGCACCTTTAGTACCCTCAGTTGTTTTGACAGGGGCTTTGGCGGCAGCACCAGAGGCTGGGGCCTTTCCACCAGTTGACGCGGGTTTAGGTGCCATAACGGTCGAAATTGCAAGATCTACTGACACTTGAGTCAATGGTGCGAGAGGGATGTCGGTAATGGCGGTCGCAACGGTAAAGAGGCGCGAGGTAAATCCACAACATCTCCTATATATACCTTCACGTGACTTTATACTTATTTGGCCACGACGCGTCTTTGTTGATTGTGGCGCGCGTCTAGACTCGGGACTACTATAAATACAGTGTTCCTCAGGTAATCGACTAATTACCTTCCAACCCATACCAACTTAAAACTTTACTGGCTTTGCCTGCTCTACCTTTTCTCAACCACTACACTCTTCATCATGCCTTCTGCAAAGTCAAGCGGTAAGGGTAAGGTCGGCGGCAAGGTCAAGAGCGAGGACACCAAGTCCACGTCCCGCTCTACTAGAGCTGGCCTCCAGTTCCCAGTCAGCCGTATCCACCGCATGTTGAGGAGATCCAATGTCAGCAAGCGCATTGGGTCTGGTGCACCCGGTAGGTTGCCAAGTTTCCTAGTCTCACATTGAAACTAACTCGTTTTGTAGTATACCTTGCTGCCGTACTAGAATACTTGTCCGCTGAAATCTTGGAGTTGGCCGGAAATGCTGCTCGTGACAACAAGAAACGTCGTATCAATCCTCGTCACCTTCAACTAGCTATTCGTAATGACGAAGAGTGCGCCCCTATATTAGCTCATTTGTCGCAGTCATGGCTTACTTCGTCCTCAGGTTGAGTAAACTGCTCGGAGATGTGATCATCTCTGAGGGTGGTGTCGTACCTTACATCAACCCTGCCGTACGTTTCTTTCCTCTACCAGCTGCTCAATTATTCTAAATGGCCTTGTATAGCTCCTTCCTGCAAAGAGCAAGAAGCAAAGTCTTGACAGCCAAGAAGTGTAATTCACCCCGTGTATCTCAGTTTCGCATGTCTCCTTATGTACCACCACTGTGCACATTTACTTAGTATACTTAATCTGTAGGACGTTCTCAACGTCCTTCGAGTTCCGCACCGTACGCAGAAAATCCAAAGCAATACTTGGCGCACGACCTTGTCTTTATCGCCGGAACGAATCTTCACTACAACCTGAGTACAAGAAAGATTCAAATAGTCTAGATAGAACTCGAAGGTATGTCGGTGAAGTGGAAACCTCTTCCAACTTTGCCGGATACTTTGTGTCCGTAGCTTGGTAGCAATGCATGGCGCTATGTACGATGTAGATGTTTGTCTAGGCTATTAACTATGCCGGTACTGTTGTTTCGACGGAGCGCTCAAGCGTCCAATAAACACCACTCGAATTGGTGCAAAAATAGGAAACGTGATATCCACTTATCAGGATCCACGATTTAACCAGCCAACATGCAAGCCCGTCATTGTCTTTATATTCTCTGGATACGAATGTGTGCTCTCCGTTAAGAGTCCTGCAAGCTTGCGACAGACACCGATGGGGTAGAAGAGGTGCTCCGCTTGAGGGAACCCAGGGTATCGAGCCAGTAGGCTATGTACAGGTGGTCAGAGGGATGAATTAATGTTCATCGAAGATCACGTACTCTTCCAAAGCCATCGTTGACGACGACGGCCCCAAAATTCTGTACAACACTTTTGACGCATCGATGGAGCCCTGTTTCGGAAGAAGGTATGGCGTGGGCAGCATATACGAAACACGAATCTTCGGCTTGAACAGCCATACCTTAGGCAGAGTGTAAGAAATCTAAACAATATTGATTAAAGATCACAACAAACCAAAATTCGCGGCCGCTCCTCTTCTTCATCAGAGATAACAAAGCGGTACGTTGCATGAGCAGACACATGCTCGAGCATGTCTTGCATGATGAATGCAGACATCGGGAATCGGGGAAGTCTATAAGGTCATCAGCACACTAGTTTAGGTATACTGTGCGACTACGAACTCCACTATTTGGCTGACTGGCCGCACCGCATACTTGAACAAACGGTACATCGCTGAAGCTGTGCCATCTGGACTATGTCGTTCATGCCGTCGACCAATTATTGCGCCGCATATACATCGTGCCAGCCATGACTCTCCATCTCGCTGAAGATAAGAATCAGTTTACCATCAAAATCGACAAAGGAAACAAAATAAAAATAAAAAGTCATAAAGTTGTGCACTCGAGCGTAGCTCCCATCACATGATCCTCAGTGAAGAGAGTTGTTTGAAAGAGCGACTCGCGAGTTACCCCGCGTTCAATTTTGGACGCTTTGTATCAACCGAAAGTGAAACTTGCTGCAGTCTCGCGACGCATGCCCCACTACTTGATAGTACGAAGAAACCTGCAGGGGCTTCCAAGGCATCAAAGCAGAGCACTGACGATCGACTAGCAGCCGCTGGTGGAAGCCCAACGTCGGCCTTCTTGATCGCCCTACAATAACACGAGTTCGATAGAAAATGTGTATTTACCAGGGGCTGTTCGGTGCAAGAGACATTATTGGATACTATTGCCGATTGCTGGAAAAGAATGTAGCCACACCCAACCAGAGCCTCACTATCTTCTGGCCAGAACCCGCGGCCATGCTTCGTGACATGATTATGTAGTGTTTGGTCTGCATGGCACATCCAGGCATCGACAAGTTCTTCCCAATGTTCTGATGGGAGGTCACGGTATTTAATCAACTTTGGACTGTGGACGAGGGGAAGCGAGCAGGATATGCAGGACCAGGATGTCGGCTTCGATGATAGGAGTTGCTCAGCAGACATCAACGGGGTAGGCTCATCGGGTGAAGAGGACCTCGCCGCCTGTGAGGTCGCAATCCCAAGTTTGAGCTCGTAGTGTCCTTGGCAAATTTGAACAGCTTTCTTCCCAGGAGGGACTCGGACAGGCAGGCTTAGTGGAGGCGAAGAGGCCCAAGAACTCCTAATCACCAGGCAGTCACCTTCTGTCCCACCGGACGAAGTTGGTAACACTTCGGCCTGTAGTTCTGTGTCAACTGGAATGCCCGATACTGTTACGAAGACCAGGACATGTCTCAAGGTCTCGTGATATTCGGCGACATAGGAAATATCGAGTGCAATGTCCCCTGCAGAGCTTTGGTTAGTTTTGCCGACATTAATCTCCGAGTGCTCACCTTGCTGCTGCGATTGTTCTGTTCCAGATTGGACCTGTCCATGAGACGAGCCCGGTCTGCTGGAACTCTTAGATAGTCGTCGGCTAAGTTCCGCTGCAGGGCGCAACCATTGTGGAGCAGATATACTTCGAGTGCGTGACTTCTTGAGGCTCGTTGCTGAAACGTCAGGAACCGGCTCCTCGAGTGCATCTCCAGAACATGTATGCTGGTGTGACTCAGGTGGGATACTCGACATTGATTCGCGAATGAACTCGGGGAGCGTGACGAGCTCATCCAGTGCTCTGACTTTGGGTTGCAGGATGGCATCTTGGTCATGTAATCTCCCAACTCCCGAACGTTGGATAAGATGGTCGACGAATGCACCCCGCTGAAACAATTACTTTGATAAGCAACAATCACTGGTCAAAGTAAGCTGGAATTACCTGATCTTCGTACTCCTGCTTTGCTTGCCTGAGCCTGACCACCCGTCTGCTATCCATGACAACTGACTGATTGGTCAACTTGCGGTCTGACGCTTTCCCGAGGAGCTCAAGCATGTGGTCAAGGTCGCGCATATCCCGATCACGAGCTTTCTGCTTTCCCTTAGATAAGGAAGGCTGGACTTTAGGACCTTCAAGCCGTGCACGCTCCATTTGTGCGAGCTTGGCGCTCTTCAATTCCACTCGTTGGTTGTGTAGCTGGGGTGCAACGATGTACAGACGCTCGATTGCCAGCGTCACGGCATCAAAATCCATGCGCAGTTTCTCGTTGGAAATGCTGGGAGATGGTATCGACCTTGGTGGCTGAATGCCAGCCTTCTCAGAAGATGATTGATACTCAGCATCATATTCTGGGGGTGTCTCGAAGTCATGGCCTACATGGTCATATTGAGGGGGGAGATGATCTAGGGAGGGGGAACGATGGGAATCGGCGCGATCTTTACAAAGTGCTGTTACAGTTTCTAGTTCTCGGTCAATCTTGGACCAAAGGAGCGCGGTTTGTACAGTCTGTACTGGGGATTGCGGAGAGAGAATGCTTGCCCCTGCCTTCCGTTCCAATTGTAGATCACCAAGCTGCTTTTTCAGGGTACTTAAGACATCAGCGGGATGTCGAGCAGCAAGGCTGGGAGAAGTGGATGAAGATGGCTGAGGGGGAGAGTCCCAAGAGGGAGAAACTGCAGGCAACTGGTCCAAGTCCAAAAGGAGCGAGACTATAACCTGTGCAAAGTGTGCATCCTGCCGGTTCATAGAAGGCGCCAGGGCATCGACTCGATCCCTAAGTTCTTCTAGGAGAGCTGTGTGATCATCCAGGACTTTGCGAGGTATCTCCCCACCGTCATGATTTCTGAGATTTAACACAAGCGTCTCAAGTGCGGAGTATGATTGCGATGCCTGCTCGCAGTGCATAGAGGCTGGCATCGAATGGCGCCTGTCTGGGACAATTGGCTGCCATCTTGTAGGGACGGATAATAAATTATTGAGTGTCATGAGACACGAATTCTGCACGGTAGTGATTGATGGTATGATGGCTGTCTGCAAAATTGGGCTAAGCATTATTTACAGACAGGTCGCTGAGGCACCCATCACTCACGAGCAGTCTTTCTGGTGCAACATGGTTTACATTATGTAGCGCTGCCGCCGATCGCGGCTTGCTCTGCGATATGCTTCCATTGGCACGAGCTTCATACTCTACTTGCTCCTCGGCAAGTTCTTCAAGAAGTGCTTCCTGAAGTAGTTGCTCTCTTTCTTCTGCGCTCGGAAATGGTTTTGGAACTGAAGTTCGAAGGATTTCATCCTGCTCAGCGGGTTGTACGATTTGGGTGCGAACGAGAGTCGCCATGACCAGCGTTTACGATTTCTGGAGTTTAGGCTAAAATAGTTGGTGGAAGCAATTGACAGCACGTGGTCTAAGGTGCCACGGTTCGATTGGCAGCACACGTCTGTAGCTACACGTTTTGCTGATAGCCCATTAGCTCGCCGTTGGCGATAGCGGGCAAGTAGTGAGAGGTAAGCTGCTGTTGGAAATTTACTGGGGAGGCTGGTAATGTGGTATCTGGAACATCATGAAATATTATTAAGTATGATCTCACTAGGTCTTATGGCAGTGTGTTGGCAGTGTCTTACAGAACTTTTTATGATGCGGCAAGATTTGAGTAATTCGGGACACGAGGAAGCGAAGTCCCAACTCCTTTCGTGACTCCAGCCGAGTCTTTCAGGGTTTGCGCCCTTCTCTACTCAGCACCACCAGAACTCCCATAGGAACTTCAACCACGTCCTGGCGTCCCACGATAGCGAAAGCGTCATAACTGGAACTATCTTTAACGGCTACCTACACAGCTCTCACAGCCGCATATAACAGTTAATATGTATCATGGTATGATGGAATGTTTCTATTTTCCAAACGAAACGTGGTTGAACCTGTGTGCCCTTTCTCAGTTACAGGTTCTGCACCTACAGCTGGCCCTTTCAAAGACCACACAGGTGGTCCCCTCGGAGAGACCGTCGATCAACCTCGCATCAATCCTCCAAGGTTAGATACTAAGCGGAGGCAGACGTTGCTTAATCTCCTAAATGCTTTAAACGAGCTCAGCCAAGCCGAATATCTTGACCGAGGTTAGCTTTCCGTGTTATGCAATCGTAGGCTGCTCACCGACTCCTCAACTCAGACTTTGATCAGTATCCAAGCTTTGAGGATGACAGAGATGTCCGTGAGTGGGCTCGTCTGACAACTGCACCTTCTGTTGAACATCAGATTAGCGACTGTTGACGAACAACTACAGGTTGCCGGAGCAGACGCATTTAACAGATTTCAGAAGTTCGTTTACCATTAGTCCTGCAATTTTTTCTCTTAAATTTTCTTTCAGGAGGATCAATAGTCTCGACAAAGAGGTCTCTGCTGTTTAACAACAAGCTTTGTGGCTGATTAGGCTGACGCGGTGTTCACACCGACAGCTCAGAAACTTTGGCAATGCTGCACGACAACTTGGTAGTTCCGTCGGAATTCTGTCCTCCGCATTTCGGCTCCGCGAATGTCTTGCACAAATCCTCTTCCTCTTCCGGGACAATGCAGCTGATCTCTTTCCTCGCAAGATCTCTCGTCAGCAACGCGAATTTTTGGTCAACCCCAATCTAATGGACAAAAAGCGCAAAGCTCGGCGGCGAAAGAGCATGCCAGGACGTGTTCCAGCTAATGTTGAAGATAGCCTTGATCTTGAGAGCCTCCCAGAGCAGTTTGAGAACTTCGCTACTGCTCTCATGACCTTCTTGAAATGCCTGAATGAATTTCCAGAGTTCACCGATGAGGCTGTTAACACTTCGATAAAGTCATTTGAGGGCGATTTGAAGGTATATATTCGCACCTTTTTGCCTAGCGTTTGGTTAATTTTCAGCAGTACTGGGCGTGCTGTTTACAAGATTACAGAGGTAAACCTCTACCAGTCTCGCAGGACTCAATGACCTGTGATTCTAAATATCTTTTATCAGGACAATTCAAATACCCTGCTGTGCAGCGCTATGTTCATGACCTTACGGCTGAAATGGGAGAACACATCGACAGCATTACTGGAACATTATCCATGTTCATCGAAGTTGGTGTGTCATCCCATTGTCTATGCAGGCGACATTGCTCTGATTTAGTTCGAGGTGTTCCAACTATTCGATTTGCACAGAAGCACGGTGCAGCAAATCTATTAACTCTGTCCACCGTGGCCACCTTCTTCTCCGCCGTCACTGCGACGACGCTGCAGTTCTCGTATTCTCAAACTGGAGATATTCTCTCTGACGGAGTTAATGCGTTCTGGTTCTCCTCGCTTGTATTTAGCATCGCTGCTGCTGTTAATAGCTTGCTAGGGCTTTCTTGGAAACAAGCTATGTAGTAAGTGTCTCTCGGACTTAAAGCGGGTCACAGCTGATGTTGGTAGTCGATCACCTGGTGATCGCGTACCGTGGTGGGTACTGATATGGATTAAACGATCACCCCTAGTATTTTTGGTGATGTCTGTGGCTTGCTTCTCGGCTGGGCTTGTGCTGTTCACATATTCTACGAATCAAGTGGGCTCCCTTGGCTGTTTTCAAAAATCCTTTTACTCATGATGTATCACAGGGCAAAGTCACATCTACAATCACAACTGTTTTTACTGCGTTCACCTCGTTTGGCCTAGCAGCAGTTTCAGCCTGGTTTGCTTCTGAGAGATGGACATTTGTGCATCATCGCGGGTCGAAGTGGCTTTCTGACGTTCTGAAGGATGCTCTGCGACGCTTCATGGCCCTGCGTGTGATCTCAATCGTCAGCAAAGGCTTCGGTTGGGGCCTGCAACATGTGCAAAAAGGCGTTGAAGTCGCAGGACACAAACTTAGACGGGCGTCATCGATGGGGACAATCACAACAACCGCGCTAGAGCAAGGCGACAGCCTGACGAATGGCGAGTATGCTCACGCAATATCACGTTCTCCTGAACCCCTTTCTCTGCTATCACCCATCCGACAATCCACGGACTCCCACTTGCATTTTAGTGCCGAGGGTTCTTCACATCCCAACTTGGAGTCACCAACTACCACCTTCAGCGACACGTCAAACTCTCCAATTACACCGCGAGACCGTTTGACAAGTGCCATTCGGTCTGTCATGATGCTCCAGTCTGCAACGTCTTCTCCTAGCAACCCATTTTCTTCTCCTGCGCGGAAACGAACAACTTCGTCGGCGTTCACAGATTCATCAAGAGTGATGTCAGAGACAGGTGTCACCACAACACCCAGAGGATCTAAAGTCGCCTCCCTCATACCTAAGCTCAAAAGCTTAGAGGCAACGCAAGATTTGGTTGCACATTCAGCACTCGTCAGGCACTTACAGTTCTCGCCCAATGGCAAGTTTTTAGCGACTTCAAGGTAGGACCTTCCAGCCTGTGCAATACACTATGTATTGACGTTTTTTTTTAATAGCTGGGATCGGACGTCTATCATCTTCCGCGTCGGGGTATGTGGTGCTAGTAGTTGATCAAAGCGTGGCAATAATATTTCTATAGGATCCTTGTGTGCCCCATCGTGTACTTGCACACGCTTCTGGTTTTGTTGGTCAAGTTGCTTGGTGCGCTATTCTTGCTTCGTGTTCATGGTTTGCTGACGTTTTCATAAGGTCTCCGGTTGGCGTGCTTCTCCTTACAAGGCTGAATCGGGCTATCAAAATTTGGACGGAGGTTGGTTGAACGGGAAGAAGAGTAACACGGTGCTGAGTTATGTGTTATTTTCAGGATGGAGTGTGTCGAAAGACCATCGAACGTCACCACCATGTCCAGTCAATTGCATGGTTGCCTGGAGGGGAAGGTGAGGTCCCAATTGGTACCTGCAGACTATACCAACAAGTGATCTTCTGCAGCATTTTTGTCCGTCGAGGGTAGCGAAGTGGTCCAAATTGGTAAGTAGCTATTGTGCTCTTATTTATGACGCGCCTACTCATTTCGACAGGATCTTAACGGCAATGTGTGTGCACCAAGGTTAATTTTTTGGAATGCCACTTAAGTCTCTCGTTCTTCAGGTCCTCGACACGTATCACTTCAATCGGGTGTTCATTCATGATGTAGCCATCACTCCTGATCTACAGCGGTTGTTGGGCGTCGGGCCGATCCTATACTCTCCCAAAGGATTGCATCCTAGCAAGTCCCGAGTAGAAAAACAGCTTTTGGGTGAGTTCACTGTTGTCTTTCATGGGATCTGACGCCTTATCTATTGTAGTTTATAACGTCGAGACGAAGGTTATCGAAAAGTGAGACCATCGGCATAGTGCTTTAAGGCATGTATTGATGACTTGTGGTAGCCAGACGCCAGTGCTCAATGATGTTCGTGATATAACGCTGGCTAAGAACGGACAAGTAGCTCTGGTATCTTATGAAAACAAGGTCTGTCAGTATATCACAGATTCGGCTATTTTGCTCAGTTTTTCTCGTGGATATATCTAGGCATTTCCCCAGCTGTGGAAGTTAGAAATGGTCAAGGATCAGGCACGACTGATTCTGCGTCATACTTATATGCCCAAGGTGCCAGTTGACTTTGCAGGACCGAGCTATTTTGGGGGCAAGGACGACCAGCTTGTGCTTTGTGCCGGCAAGGGTGCGCTATTTCCGGTTCCCCCCAGTCCTATAACTGAAGAAGTACTGAGTAGCTGGTGATATACATATCTGGGACCGCGATTCAGCTGTGCTTCTTCATCATGTCCGTGCCCAAGCCCTAGGCGGAGATTTGACGTGTATTGCATGGAATCATGCTTCCGACAACCCTTTTATGTTTGCTACGGGAGACCACGAGGGTGCAGTCAGATTGTGGACAACAGCAAACGACGACTACCGGCCATGCGAGTCTAGTCGCCGTTTCTCTGCAGTGACTGCACAATCTGCACCGCATTCTGTTGCCCCTTGCTCACCTTCACCCGTTGGTGATGGTGCTTGGACAGATAGCGCCGGCAGACAATTCGGGGAATACACCTCAGAGCCATTAACGCTCACGCCCGTGGAAGACAGTGGCCAACGAGATAGAATTGTTACATTTGCACATACTCGTGGACAGTAAATATACCCATCTACATACACATTTAGCCTCCCAATAGAAGGAACTCAAGATAGATAGTTATTCATTGCGTTTCTGGGTTGGGATGTCGGAGACCATCGAAGTTTCAAGGTTCAGTGATATCCCTCCAGTTTTTTTTGACAAACTTGTTCCTGGATCGTGGACAGAAGTGGCTGTGCCGCTGCGCCTTAATTCCTCTCCGCTGACTCTGCTCAGCGCTAGTGTGCAAGTATGGAGGCCGAGTACCCCCCAAACAGCGATGACCCTCAATGCGAAACCTATTTACATCAAGAGGCCCATATCGGACAAGAGGAGAGTGATGTCCCTCCTTCAAGTTCGCTGCCTGCATCTACTCGCTGTTTGATTGTGATATCCGAGCTTCGGTTGAAAATCTTTCAGTTGGTCCATGACACATTTACGGGTGTCTCAAAAAATAATAATAAGACACTCCTGGCACTTGCCTTGACGTGCAAGTTATTCACTGGACCTGCACTGGACCTTTTGTGGCAAGACCTACGTGGGCTTGCGCCACTTATCAGATGTCTCCCGCAAAGCCTATGGAAAGTCACAGGAAAACTGGTAAGTCGAAATCTGGCGCACTTACGAGAGAATACTAATTCTTCATTCGCCAGGAACTTCAAAGAACGATGACCTTTGATGATTGGTCCATTTTTTGTAAATACAACCACCGTGTCCGTTCACTAAACACAGCAGTCTATGAGACCGTTCGACTTCCGCTGGATATCGAGATTTGGCGTGCCCTCAGCTACCCTCCTTTCTCCCTTCCCTTGCTCCCAAACTTGACATCTCTTACCTGGGGAGAGTACAACAACGAGACATTCCCGTATGTCTACTTGTTTGTGACCCCAAAATTGATGACACTCGATATGGTACGGATGGGCCCGGGGACGTCTACCTTTGGTCCATCTGAACAGTCCATGTTGTCATGTATCTCAATGCTATGCCCTTCTATCTCGCATTTCCGTTTTGGATTTTACGGAAAAGACACGTCGACCACATTACAAAGTTGGTCTCATCTAAAATCGGTGAAAACCGAACAAATTTCTGAGGCGGCCATACTACACTTGTCGAAATTGCCTTTACTCCGGGTTCTAGATTTCAAACTACCTTCAATCCCTATGTCTGCCAATACGCAAAAGCTCCTACAACGTTCTGTGTTCTGCGCAATAGAAGAACTGGGTGTAGAATGTGAAGAGAGTCTGGCGCTTTTAGATGCTTTTTTCGAGAAGCTCTGTATTGCTCCAAAAGCAATATCCTGTGTTGTCACTGACGGAGTGGATTCCATACCGGCCCTACCGGGTTTGATTTCCCGTCTATCTAATGCATGTGCGCATAGCTCACTCGAACAGGTGCGGCTCAGTATCAGCGATCTAGCTGTGGATCCCGATGCTTCAATCGGAGCTGCATCCTTTCAACCGCTCTTCGCCTTCCGCAATCTTCGCAGGCTTAATGTCGAAGCGGATTGCAATGTGCGGTTAAATGATACTGTCCTTTTGCAGATGGCAAAGGCTTGGCCCCTCCTGGAACGGTTATTCTTCCGCCCATACTGTCATTTGAGTCATGACGTCACCCCACATGCATTCGTCTCCCTGTTGCAACACTGCCCATGTTTAGTCTCGGTCTCTGTTTTCATAAATTGGTCGACTATAGACGGGCGTGAGATATCCCCTGTCATTCCCTATCAAGGATTTGCACACAAGGCACTATCAGAGGCGTCCTTTGGTAGTCCAAGGATTCGTCATCCAACAAGGATTGCCGCCTTCATCTCAGCCATTGCACTCAACGTGGAATCAATTGAGGCATGGGATCCTGATTACTACGATGTTCATCCAGGCTTCGAAAAGTACTCTACCAGGTGGAAGCTCGTGGATCATTTGGTCAAGTCTTTCTCCATGGTCCGCGAGCAGGAGAGGAGAACGAAGTTGAATGGAGATGCAGGTGATGAGGAATTTAGAGGTTCATATGACCACTACGGGGTTGTGCAGCCAGCACAAGAGACTGAAAATGGAGAAGCCACTGTTGGCGATGACCATGGAGAGAGTTCCGGGGAAGACAGCGGAAGCGGATACGAATATGTGCCTTATGAAGAACAAGTCACGCCGGAGGAGGAATGATCTAAACTGTTCTGAATTTGACTGGGGGCTTTGCGACCGTTCATTTTTTTCTCAACTAGGCCGCTTCAGCCCTTCGCAAGCGGTACCACACTAGTTTTTTTTAAATTTCCCCACATTATTGGTTCCTGGATCGTGCGCATAGGTGGCTGTGCCACGGCGCCTCGGGCGGTATGTTATCCTTATTCCTCACCGTCTTTGCTCAGCCCTCAGTACTGCAGGGCTAGCAAGTATGGAGGTCAAGTCTGGTCGAGTACTGTGCAGATAGTGATGACTCTGAACGCGGGACCTACTTGAAAAAAAAGATGTGGATGTGTGAGCTGAGAGTAGAAAAGCAGAGGATCGGCGCCCCGGCGTGTTCGCTGTGGCTATATTATTATACATCAATTTGTTCCGTACCAATGGCCGATGGGACTCCATGGAACATATCACTCTTATTTCCTGGACTACACCAATCCGACCCATAGAACATGCTGTCGAAACGGGTTATCGCTGTAGCACGCAGTCGTGCTTTTCTCGCAAGCAGAAATGTCCAATACCGTGACACTGCTGTATCATTGTCGAAAGGATGGTGCGCGACGCGCGTTCTCTGCGTGTTTTTTTCTCTGCTGGCAGCATAGCTAACGGACGATCATTTTCTTGACTGTCTAGGAAAGTCGTTGACTCGCATATGAGACGCGCACAGTTCCATTCATCACATCTCCTCCAAGGTCAGTTCTATGACGTATCTAAACAACGGAGTATGATCATTCAAACCTGCTTTGTTGGTCTGCTGACCCACAGTTGAGACCGTAAAAGTGCCGCAGATGGCAGAGTCCATCTCCGAAGGTACTCTTCGGTCTTGGTCAAAACAGGTTGGGGATAGCGTCGAGGCTGATGAGGAAGTCGCGACCATTGAGACGGACAAAGTAAGTGGCAGCTTATTTGCACTTCTATCATACCACGAACGAACATACTAACGTCCTCTCCTTCAGATCGATGTTTCTGTGAACGCGCCTAAGTCAGGGAAGATCGTGGAACTACTTGCGAAGGAGGATGACACTGTCAACGTCGGCCAGGACCTCTTCAGAATTGAACCCGGTGAAGGTGGTGGTAGGTCCCACGTCTTTCATTTAACACACCATTTCTTCACATGGCTCTAGCATCTCCCACCCCTCAAGAACAGAAGAAGGTAGACCCTGAAGAACCTAAGGACCAACAACTGGACAAGGCAAAGCCAGAGCCTCCCGCACCTTCGGGTGCCGACAAGCAGGGTGGCGGTATTCCTCCCGAGGGACCTAAAGAGTCCAAGAAGGAAGTGAAGCAGGATTCAAAACCAAAGGAGGTCAAGTCAAAAAGCACCTCCCGCCGCGCCAAAGGCAGCCGCACCAGGCAACCGGGGTGAGACGAGGGTAAGCATGGCATTGCTGCACCTCCTTCAAGGATATTAACGTGCCTCTAGGTCAAGATGAACCGTATGCGTCTGCGCATTGCCGAGCGTCTGAAGGAGTCTCAAAATGCTGCCGCTTCACTCACGACCTTCAATGAGATTGACATGTCGTCTCTCATGGAGATGCGAAAGAAGTACAAAGATGAGGTGCTCAAGCAACATGATGTCAAGCTGGGCTTCATGAGTGCGTTCGCTCGTGCATGCGCGCTGGCACTGAAGGAGATTCCTGCTGCAAACGCGTCCATCGAGGGTGACGAGATTATCTACCATGATTACGTCGATCTCAGTGTTGCTGTCGCGACTCCGAAGGGTTTGGTCACTCCCGTAGTGAGGAATGCTGAGGGCATGGGCTTTGTTGATATCGAGAAGGAGATTGCTGCTCTTGGCACCAAGGCCAGGGACGGTAAGTTGACTCTCGAGGACATGGCAGGAGGTACCTTCACCATGTAAGCTTTTTTGATTATCAACCTAAACCAAGACTAATTTCACGCATTCAGTTCCAATGGGGGTGTCTTCGGCTCATTGTACGGAACGCCCATTATCAACTTGCCACAGTCCGCTGTGCTAGGCATGCACGCTATCAAGGACAAACCTGTCGTAGTCAACGGCCAGATTGTCATCAGACCCATCATGGTGGTCGCTCTCACCTACGACCACAGACTACTCGATGGTCGGGAGGCAGTTACATTCCTGGGTTCGTTCTCTTCCTGTTATTTGGTCTTACCTGACGTGTTGACGGCATTTGTAGTCAAGGTTCGCGACTACATCGAGGACCCTCGCAAAATGCTTCTTGCATTGAACTGAGCTTGCCTTGGAGAATTTGTTCACGAAAAACTGGCGGCCAAGTGCACATGTTCTTATAAGTTACAGTAATTTTGCAGTCAGTATTTTCAATGCCAAATTCCTTGGTCTATTCCAAGTTGTCATAAGTTGTCGTTCTAAGGTTACCCATAGCTCTCACTCATCATCTTGCGGGACAATGAGCGACATATTTAAACGCTTCATGCCATGTAATCCACCTTCGTATCAGTCTCCTTTACTGTATCGATCTTCTTCAGGTCGAGTTGGTCAGTTGGAGCTATTAATATTGCTGTACCAGAGGTACCCATAATCTCCCACAAGGCAGTTGCCTTACAGCAACGTGCCTGAATAACATGAAATACAAAAAAAGACACTACGTGTCTGCGTGCAAAAACAAAATAACGACGACCATCGCATCGGCACGTCCGACTGGCAGACATCACGGTACAACCTCCTTTTCCTTACCCTTCCGGGACGGCGGCAGCGCCAAGCTTGGTGAGCTTGCCATGCCTGCGGCACTAGTGAACGATACAAGGCGACGTGTCCCCTTTAACCCCGTTGGTGAGGAGAGAATATTTGGTGAGTGCAAAGGACTGTTTGGGACCGAGACGTTCGAGCGTGTTGGTCTTGTGGGCGTTTCGCCCTGGTTTGCTTCGGTGAGCAAATATTCAACCCAGAGCCGGGAAAAAGACTAGCAGAAAAGTGGTGAGCTTGCGATTGCAGCAATAAATTCGAGGTATTACCTCAGTCTCATCTGTCTTTTCCAAATCGACTGCCTTTTGACTTGGTGACCCGATATTTGAAGGACGTCCCCAGAATGAATTGCCAGATGAAGCTGTTATCGAGGAACGCTGGAGGCCTGCCTTCTCACGTTCTGCGTCCGTCCATGATAGAACAGACGCAAGAAGCGTGAGCATTTCGAAGCGCTTTGCATCGGCACGTGGAGTGGAAAGGAACGATAGAAGAACGTTGTTCACTAGTCGCCGATCTACATTCGTTTCGGATGAGTTGCGCCGAAGTCTACGGAGGGCTTCCATCAGATGTTCGTTGATGATTACGGCTGAAAAGAAGATTGATATTAGGCAACATGTGTGGTGATGGAAATAGACCTTCGTGTCGTAGCTTCCCGATTAATAGATTCTTCTCCTTGACGTCCTGTTCTAGTTCTTGTGTCCGCGAGGCATTGATTTTCAGTTCATCGAGTTTGGCCTGTCTGGTATTTGAGCTTGGTTAGATGGCGACCAGAACACAAGGCAGACCTCTGCGTCTAGAGCTCGTCGCTTGAATTCAGGCTAAGGACATGGTGACATCATCGAGCTGAGATCTGTAGTCCTTCACAGCTTGTGAAAGTTCGTGTTCCTTGGCTGTCAATGTTTCAGCATGGAGAACCTGAACATAAAATACGCATGACATTGCTTACACGCTGAGAAATCCTCTAGCACTGACTGTAAGTTAGTCGCAGTCTCCCGTGCTGCGACCAACTCAACTGACTCTCGAACTCGAACTTCGCGTTCCATCTCCAGATCACGCCTCAATGTCTCCAGGTTCAATCTTGCTTCATCACCCAACATCTTCTCCTGCATTGAGGCGCGCTCCCATTCGCCACGCTCAAGGCGACACCGTTCAAGCTCACTCACAGTCTCCCGAAGCTCACGTTCGCGTAGAAGACTTTCCTGTGCATTCTCGTTCAGAACCTGACTTCGAATTGTATCTAGCTCCTTTGAGTTGCGTTCTGCTTCTTCATGAGATGCGATGAGCTCGGCTTTCAAAGTCTCGACTGTGGAAACCAGATCCTCATTCTGAGCCGTAAGATGCTGAACAAGTTGTTCCCTCCTATCGAGTTCTTCCTATGCATAGTTCGTTAGGGAGCTAAAAATGATACATAGATACTCCAATAGAAACGTACAGCATCCTGTTGAAGCTTATTGCCTAGGCTGGTACGCATCGTCGTGAGTTTGGCTAGGAGATTACGATACTGTGCAGCAAGGTTCTCTTTCTCCTCTCTCTCGCGTTCGAGTTCTCTCTTCAGCTTCTCGACGGGATCCAAGCCCTCCGCGTCTACGAGGGCACGGGAATGTCCATTGACCCCAACTAGTACAGGCGAAGACATGGAGCTGCGTTCACTGTCTAAAGATGAGCGACTATCCACATTTGCGACGTGATTAATAGGAGAAAAGGGTCTGGCATGGACTGGGGACCTCGAATCATTCCGGGTGATGGCTGCGCCGTTGGAAGACATCGATCTCGTTCTTGTCATTCAGTCCTCTGCTCCCAGGGCATAAGGCTATTTCACATACCAAAAATGGAATCCCACGTGCGCTAAGTTCGTTGCACAGACCGGAGTCTTTTCAAGTTGTTAGTCTTTATTCTCGACGAAAGATTCGTTCCTTCTAGTAAGAAAGGGCCTTTGTAGGACTTGTTCTTTGTTTCCAGTTCTTAAAAGCTTTAAAATCGGCCTGACTGCAATATATATTTTGTATCAGTACCAGATCATGACGGCCGAAACACTAGTGCAGCTCCCACCAGAGCTTTTGTATCATATACTATCATTTCTCGACTCGCGCGACCTAGTGCGAATACGAAAGGTGGGTGAACACATGTATTCATCTCACTGTGCTCACTGCTCATCTGTCATAGACTTGCAAAAAGTTGAAAGGAATTGTAGATGATTCGGATATGTTGCAATACATCATCGACCTCGGTTACTTCCAAATGAATCCAATGGGATCCTCGGAAGTGGACGTGCCACCGGCTATGCGTCGCGAACGACTTAGACTGTATGACGCTGCACGGCAACACATTGAATTTAGATTGAAGCACACGCTATCGTTACCAATGTCAGGACTCGGACGTGTAGATGCGTTTGGGGGCGGCATATACGGTTCAGCTGGGGAGAACTGCATCCACTTTGCACGACTGCCACCCGACGTGTCTGATTCTGGCGATTTATCATATTCCCATCGCTGGAATCACCCTGTCGACACAACGAACTTAGTGAACTTCACTTTCTGTGCCGTGCAAGATCTACTTATTGTCGTGGCACACTCACCAGACTTGTGAGTATCTCCATTGTTTTCGCTCAGTTCTTTCTCAGGCTAGATCGGGTGGGCAGGCGGAGTCATGCATACGAGATCCATCTGAAGTCGTTGACAACGAACGACACTCACCCCGATGCAGCGCAACCACTCCTGAAAGCACTCGACAAGCATGATATTGATCACCAAATATTGAATACCAAGGGTTGTGTGAAGGTCCAAATCATCAGGAATTACGTTAGCATGCTATCCTGGGCTGTTATCGCAAACGTGGACGACACCTTGTATAGTATACAAATGTGGGACTGGAAATCCAAGAAGGGCTACCAGGTCAATCACTTTTACAAGTCAATTCGGCTAGAAATTGAAGCATATAACAGTTCAATCTTTTTTTCCGCTACGATATCAGCGACTACTCTTTCATTACGGAGGATAAGTTCCTCGTCTTTGTCGCCTCTGGGAGTATGGAAATTTATTCCATTGACGACAAGTCGAAGCTCCCGCAACGCACCGCAACAATCTCCTTGCCTTCTCTCGTGGACGACTTTTCATACACAGATGTGTTCATAAGCGAACATCCAACTCCTAGTTCCACGTTTCCCGATTTTCGACAGTCCCACCAGCAACCTTCATGTTCATTTCATCCAAGTGCAGATGATCGACTCATAGTCATCCTTGTTTGGGTCACTCGAACGAACACGGACCATTCACTCTACTATCGCTTTGTTGTCCGGCGTAGTGCCATTCTGGAATTCGAAAGTTTATCTGTCAGGACTTACAATCAAATTTTAAGCTCAATTTTCAGGCTGCCTTGGTCGATGTGGGGACCGCAGCATACGTCGTGGTTCCGTGTTCAGCTAAATGAGGACTGGCATACTTCACTCTTTGGTTTCCGCACTGTGGAGTCCATCAATGAACTCAGTCCTCACCACCTCGCGGAAGGTCCTCGTCGGCTATATGTCAGAGATTTCAATCCACACATCGCTTGGAATTATGGTGCGGTAGATAAATCGAGATGGCGCGGTAAAATTGTACCAGGCGTGATGGACAGGACGACCTCGTATCCGTTCACGGAACCGCTTGGGCATGCACTGACGTATCGCGAGGACTCTTAGCGAGGAGCTGTTCGATGTGAATGAAATTTTCTCAGACGAAAGCAGGATTCTGCTGGTGAAAGTGAGTTGCAACTTGCCCTTTAACGGTTCTCTATAGTAATAATGGATTGCGGTAGAAATTTGGTTCTAGTGCATTGGAAAAAATCGACGTATTGGTATTCTGACCATGCAATGTCACACAATATCGACGCCTTGGAGGGATGCTCAATTCAAGAAGGGCAGCGTGGATGTACCAAGGATTCCAGCCTCAGCTAAGGCTGAGTCGTACAATTTTACGCATCGGTTATATGCGCACTCCAGCTCAGGATCATTGCGCGCAAAGCAACGAATCGGGGAGACCGCGGGGAAGGTCAGTTGGTTCCTACGTCTAGCAAGATCGCTAAGTAGGATGTTCTGGTGTGTGTAATTAAACAATGATTTCCCTGCAAACTACTGGAACAACCCCTGCCTGAACGTAAGACGTTTGATTGTTGAGGCCATCTCCGCACATCATGAAACGAATATAAGAAGTAGTGCAACGTGTACATGTTCCATTACTAGATAAGTTCGTCTAAGCGCCAGGGTTCGTGTTCGTAGAATGTAATTAAGCGTCTGCCGCCTCCAGCTCAGGAACAAGGCACTCACAGCAGGTCACAACATCAGAGCTCACCATTTATTCGCACCTTCCTCTCTATCTCCTCCTCATGTCTCCTCAACAAGAACCGATCCACCCAACCGCCCTTGGGAAATGCTTTATCCCACCGGTTATGCAAATGCACCGCAAATATCTTGCCTAGCGCCCTATCCAGTGCTCCACCCTCCTCAAGCCCCTCGCCGGGTCTGCCGGTCCACTTCCCGTCCAAGCGATCAGGCTCAAACGGCTCTGGCGCTCTGTTATCGAGACGACACACTAGAGGGTCGGAGAAGCAGAACGGTAAAATTTTGAAGGGAGGTATGGATTCGTTGAGGAGGCGCCGCCACAGCCTATGGTAAAGAACTGAGCCCCAATCAGTGCTTGGAGAGCGCGGGGGAGTGCTATGTGCCATGAGATGGAAGGCCTCGCAGAGGTAAGGCGAGTGCTTGCGAAAGTGCATAAGCGCACCGTTAAACGGTTGGTAAATCTTGTCTGAGGAATCTTGTGGATTAGTGAACGAAAGAGGGTTGATTATTGAATTACCGTAGCAGTCCCATTGCGTTACGAATTCGTGCTCAAGCAATGGAGAGAGGTCTCGGGTTAGGAGCATGTCCATGTCTATCCAAGCGCCGCCGTATGCCCAGATGACAAGTAAGCGGACGAGGTCGCCGTCTACCCATGCTTTCTTGTCCTCGAGGTTGAGTAAGCGGTGGTTCTCCATTGCCGTGCCCTTGGCCAATTCAGATATATCCACTATCCGAAGTGTGAACGAGCCGGGAAACAGTTCGAGATACTTTTGCACCACAGAATAGAGTGATAAATCACCGTTCGACCAGAGTATTAGATGAGAGCGGGGGAGGTCTTGCGTAGCGAAGAATGACTTTAGCATGTACTCTTGTCTCTCACCGAAGGGTGCAAGATCGACGCGCCAATATGTGTGGAACTGTGCTCGCTCCTCTGATGGGATATACCGCTCCTCTGCCTTTCGTTCCCCTTCTGCAAATCTTACTGTTCCCGCTAACTCGTAGCAGTCCATACCCATCCGCATTGGCACGCCCGCTTGAACCTCAAACCGTTTCCCGCCATACACGGCGTCACTGACGTTGTACAATGGGCTGATACGCTCGGGCTCAAAACATCCTGCAAGTGGGGATAGTGGGAGTATTTCGCGCTGTATCCATGCTCGTTTATGGAACACGAGCCCGATGCTCCCATGCGGTTCATAGAGATAGCATACCGTGTATCCTATGATAAACACCAGCGGAAGCGCGAATTTCAAGAATGTTGTGGATCGAAAACCTCTTCGTAGTCGCATGTTGGGCCAGGAGAAGCGTTATTTTTTGCCAAGGTGGAGGATGAACAGCGTCATTAGTCGGGCATGGGAATGACTTCATAGCCTGCTCTCAGGCTGGGTGTCAGCATCAGGCGGAAGACGGTGTTGGTGCTTATGGTGTGAAGTTTGTAAACTGCGATGAAGTTAGACTTCGTGTGAAAAATTGACGGTCCAATGGGTGACGGTTTGCAGTCTCGCTTAAACTGCAAACGTGACACGTGACGACTCAGCCACAGCGCTGCCTTACTCATTGGGCTCATTTGGCAATCGCGCTCCACCCAGACCTCGACCACCGGTGATCAACACGATCAGCACGATCGGTGTCAGAGACTCGAAATCGGGCAAGCCGGGTCAAGACGAGCTATTGTGTCTCGCTGGTTATGTAGATAGTGAGTGTTGTCAGTATGTTCTCAAAGATATGCTCACTGATCAGTCCTTCCTCTTCTTCTTCGTCTAATTGTGCGTTCATCCTCTGAATTGTGCATTCAGGCATGCAGCATGCTATGTGAGGATATGCTGCCCTGGGCAGGGAGGAAATCTAGAACATCACAGGTGAGTTAGTCCAGTGGTGGTCATTTCTTTCTCTGACTGTGTGGACGACTATTAGGTGTGATCGATGACATCTGGCACAAGGATATTTGAAACTGGAGCTGACATTCATAGTCGTAAGTAAGTAAGATTTATGATACTTGAAACCAGAGCTGACATTCATAGTTGTAGGTAAATGGCAAGCCTGCTAAAGTATGGATAGTGCTGGGCAGAGAGAAGAAATTGAGGATATCACAGGTGAGTTAGTCCAGTGGTGGCCATTTCTTTCTCTGACCTGTGTGGATGACTATTAGGTGCGATCAATGACATCTGGCATGAGGAAACCAGAGCTGATGTTCATAGTCATAGGTAAGGTTGACAATACTTGAAACCAGAGCTGACATTCATAGTCATAGGTAAATGGCAAGCCTGCTAAAGTAGGGATGGTGCTCAGCAAGTATGGATGGTGCTTCTGAAACCAGAGCTGATGTTCATAGTCATAGGTAAATGGTGAGCCTGCTAAAGTAGGGATGGTGCTCAGTAAGTATGGATGGTGCTTTTGAATACAGAGCTGACATTTACAGTTGTAGGTAAATGGCAAGCCTGCTAAAGTAGGGATGGTGCTCAGTGATTAAAGTATGGATGGTGCTGGGCAGAGAGGAAATCGAGGATATCACAGGTGAGTTAGTTCAGTGATGGTCATTTCTTTCTCTGACTGTGCAGACGACTATTAGATGCAATCAATGACATTTGGCATGAGGATATTTGAATATGGAGCTGACATTCATAGTCATAGGTAAACAGTGAGCCTGCTAATAAAGTATGGATGGTGCTCAGTGATTAAAGTATGGATGGTGCTTGGTGATAAGTATGGATGGTGCTCAGTGATTAAAGTATGGATGGTGCTTGGCGATAAGTATGGATGGTGCTCAGCAATTAAAGTATGGATGGTGCTCTGTGATTAAAGTATGGATGGTGCTTGGTGATTAATACTTGGATGTACTATGTAGGGAGGATTAAACAGTCAAAGTACTTGAGTAGCGCTCAAGATGTCTGGCTGTGTGGTGAGAAGTTCATGCCACTTCTTTGCAACAGCATCATCCTTGCTCAATAGATACATCTTGCTACCTTTGGCATGGTGGAATGCACCCTGAGCCAATGGATGGTTGAGGTCTCCACCAAAAAACATGCATGCATTATTTGCATCTTGAGCTGCTGCTGAAGTCCACTGCTCTGTGATACAGTTAAGGATTTGCTGGTAAGAAAACCTCTTGCCATTTTTGTCACTGAACACATGCCAGAATGAAGCAGTGTCTGGATAATGCTGACACTCCTTGGCAATGAACTAGATTAATCAAGAAAGTGACACTTGCAAATTAAAGTGAGAACATACCTTCCAATTTCCCCACTCAACCCTTAGAGCATCCCAGGCTGTTGTTTTGACCCCCTTCGCTCTCTTGTAGAACTCACCCCAGTATTTTACAGGAATTCCGCGACCACCCACACAGAGCAAGTTTGAACTCTCCCACTCCTTGCACAACCTGTCGATATCCTTTGAAAGGTGAATTGTCAGTGGCTCTGGGACCCATGTTTTGTCATACTCAAACCGTTCATCGCCAAGCAGAGCAATTCCAAGCTTAGCTGAGGGGATGAACTGTTGAGGTATGGCATGAAAATCCAAATGAGGTGAGCTGACTTGCTGACTTGACAGCGGTAGTACTGTAGTAGTTGTATGAGCAGCTGGACCCATGGGCTGCGCTTGGTGAGGAACAATGTGGTTTTCATGAACTGGAGACAGTGCGGAGTGGCAGACCAATGACTTCACATCCATGACATGAGTGGTCACATTGTTGATACTACCTTTGATGTTGTATATGTCATCTCTGAATGACTGTATATTGTTCTCGACTCTCCGCATATGAACAGCAAATGACTCCTACATAAGTCAGCAGGTGGTGAGGTCATGTTTTCTTGAATAGCTGACAGAATCTACCTGTTCATGCAGGGAACCAGACCCTGTCAGCTCCAAGTCTGCTGGCACTTCAGGAGTCTTTTTTTTTTTTTTGATCTTTGTTTATTGTCCTGTGGGGTGGGGCTGTTACGAACTAGGATAGTCGCAACAACAGCTGCTCGATAAGAGTGACGGCTGAAGTTGAACCAAGACCTTTACAAATGTAAAGGGTCATTTAAGACAAGTTTGAGAGAGTGTCTCTTGCTTGAATATCAGTATTCAGACGACTTAAGATTGGGGGTCTTAAGCAAAGGAAGTTCAGGTAAAACCTAGTAAGATTAAAGTGAAGTTCTACTAAGTACATGACCGAGCTTATATAGACGTAAGTACTTTAGGGCAGGTACGTATACATCAGTGATGAGTCATAGATAAGACCGAGTCAGAGATAAGAGTGAGTCACCTAGTGATGGCAGCGGCGATCATGGTGTAATACAGATAAGGCAAGAGATGAGTCTAGTGATGGTGCAATAAGAAGTAGCGTGGTCATGACATAATACAATGAATAGTAAGGAAAATGAATAGGGGTGTGAGTAACTGTAACATTACCCTGTGTTTAGGAACGAAGTCGCCAACTTCAGTTATCCTGATTGGCCCAGTAAATGGGGTCAGCATCGTAGTTAGAGTGTAGCAGATCATCTTGCTCCTCAGTGATAGAGAGTGATCTATCATGTAGCTCAGCAGCATGGTAGATAGCATCCTGCTCGATCTCCCAATGGGTGAGGGCATCATAAAAGCCTGGGTCAGTCCAAACCAGCGGGATGACCGCTGCGCTGTCCAAGTCTTTACAAAAGACAGATAGGTGTCCAGGTGCATACTCTTTGCAAACCCAGCAGTAATATGCAGGACAGTTCTTATGGCGATGTCCAGCAGTGTGGCAGTTATGACATACAACATTATCAATTGGTGCCGTCTTTATGATGGTGATGGTGGGGGACTGGTCAGGGGGAGAAGGGGATCTCGACCATTTGAGTGGTTTATGCGGGGAAGCTGATGCAGCTTGTTTGGCAGCAATGCAGGAAGATCTTCGCTTGAGCAGGTATCTATGTGTGGTGGGTGTGATAGGGGTAGGAGACAGAGAAACTGGTACATCAAGTACAGCAATAGGAGGGATATTATCATCCTGAAGCTCAGTGGTAGCTGCTGCAGGGGTCAGCGGTGGGATGGGAACAGCAATGTGTGGGGAAGGGGGGCATGCGACTGGGTTGAGGGCGATTTGTTCTGTGACAATGTGGATGGCTTCTTGGATAGCTTCTTGAGTATCGTCAGGCAGTAGACGGATTGCAGTATTACGAATGTGTATATGAAGGTGGCGGAAGATGGTCTTGTGACGCTCATCTTCCAAAAGATTGGCGGTACGCTCAATAAGGCTGGCGTCTCTGATAATCCTAATAATGAGTCCGCTAGATATCGCCCCTCTCTCTCCTAGAAGACAATCTATTTCTATAGTGTACTGTTGGGACGTGATGGCGGATTCAAATAGAGTGCTGGTTTCAACCTGATCAATGACTGAAAAGTAATCGGTGAGTGTAGAGTCGTCAGTGAGGGTGAGGGTTGAGTCAGAAGCTGGTGGGGATATTACTGGGGAAGATGCGTTATTGGCGAGGTTAACGGCAGTGGCAGTCTGATAGTCAAGAAGGGACAATGGATGAGTGTTTCCTTCAGCTACGGTGTTCATAGCAGCGGTGAGTTCTTCAATGCGTAATATACAGAGGTGTAGTTGTTTGAGAGAGGACATTGCTTCAAGTCTATAACTTGTGAGCCTTTTTATAGGCAGTAAGGATGTTGGTAGTGTTGCTAAGGTTCTCCTCAGGGACCCATTCATTACTGGCAGAAGAGTAGCCTTTCCAGGATAAGAGATAGCATCTTCATTTTCCCATGCCCTTGTGCGATAAGATCGCATCAATTTCGTATTCTTCTTCATTATCAATGATGTCTGGGGGAGGGTCATGGAAGTTTGGACCATGAATTTCCATCTCTTGATAGGATGATAGTTCAGAAGCATGAAACGTGGGGTGAACTTTCCACTGTGGCGGTAGTTGGAGTGTGAAAGTGATGGGGGAGAGAATGGTGATGATTGGGAAAGGGCCGTATCACTTAGGTGCGAGTTTCCATGATGGTAACTGTGTGATTAGGTTCTTTCTGGATAACCAAACCTTATCTCCTATCTTCCATGGGTGATACTTTTGCCCATGAGTTTGTTCTGCCATTCATTGCATAGTGAGGTTATGACAAGAGAGTGCCTCTTCTCTGGATTTCTGGAGATAGTGGAGTCTGTCTTCTGCTGCTGGGACCGTAGAGTTGGGGAGTGTGTGAGGAAGAGCCCATGGTTCGTATCCCATCATTAGAAAGAATGGTGAAGCGTTACGGGAGTTGTGTTTCCGATGGTTGTGCACAAATTCCACCATGGGAAGATGTTCCACCCAATTTTCAGGGTGATTTCGGCAATAGATTCGGAGATACATTTCAAGCTCCTGATTGAGTCGTTCAATCTGGCCATCAGTCTGAGGGTGATAAGCGGTGGATGCTGCTATGTTGTATTTCAAGAGCTTGGCAAGGGCACATGAGAACTTGGATACGAATTGCGGTCTGTGATCAGAGATGACTTTCTCATGTAGGCCAAATCGGCGGTAAACGTATTTGAAGAATTTCTTGGCAACCCCTTCAGAAGTGATGGTTTTAGTACATGGGATGAGAATTACCCCCTTCATAAGCCCATGGTCTACCACGACCATGACAGAATCAAAACCGGCACAAAGGGGAAGATCAGTGATAAGGTCAATGGAGACCTGGGCAAATGGGACAGTGGCAGCAGACAGGATCGGGATGAGGGGGGGTGTTGTTGGGTGGGTATCAGATTTCATCTGCTGACAAAGGGTGCAACCGTCAACGTATTTTCATATATAGGTATCCATCGAGGGCCACCAAAAGTCTCGTTTGACAAGTTCTTCAGTTTTGAAATGTCCTGGGTGACCAGCAGTAGGGTGATCATGACAGTGTTCTAAAATAAGGTGCCGACTGGTGGGACGAATGTAAGCGCGGTCTTTATAGTAGAGGACATCATCTTTGACTGTCCAATCCACAAGAGCAGATTTCATTGGGGGAAGAGAAAGGCCATCCAAGGCATCAGAGGCGGCTTGGAAAATGGGGTCGGGGTCGGAGGGGTCGGGGTTCGTGAGGGAGGTCATAAGTTCGACATCAAGAAGGCGGACAAACATGGAGTCGGGGAGGAGGGTAATATCTTTATTATCATTAGTGGAATTGTTTCCATGGTCAGGACGTTGGGAGAGTGCATCAGGGGCTACAAGTTTGGTTCCAGCAACATGATGGAGTTCTATGTCATAATAGGATAGGATCAACTGCCAGCGAGCTTGTCTGCGAGTTAATTTCTGAGCAGTGTGGAAGTACAGCAGGTTTTTATGGTCAGTGAAGATAATGACAGGATGAGGGTTCCCTTCCAGGTAATGACACCATTCCATTAAGGCGTGGATAACCGCCAGCAGTTCATGATCAAAGATCTGATAGTTTCGTTCTGCTGGGTTCAGGGTCTGTGACAAATAACTGCAGGGATGATACGTCCCATTTTCATCAGTTTGCAGCAGTACTGCACCAGTGGCTACTAGTGAGGCATTGGTTGCTACAGCGAATTGGCGGCTGGGGTTGGGGTTCCGAAGGACGGGTTGTTTCAGAAAACAGTCTTTGAGCGTTGCAAAGGCAGTGGAGCAAGATTCTGACCATTGAAATATGGTAGCTTTCTTTGTCAGATCAATTAATGGCCTGGCGATGTTGGAGTAGTGAGAGATGAAGTTACGGTAGAAGTTACAAAACCCTAGAAAGGATCGAACTTCTTTCACTGTCGTGGGGGTAGGCCAATCTCGAATACCATCTGTTTTGGCTGCGTCCATTGCCACACAACCAGGACATATTATCATTCCCAGATATTCCACTTCCTGTGCATCAAACATGCACTTCTCCAGTTTCAGAAACAGTTTCTCTTGACAGATCCTTTCAAGAACACGCCAGGTTCATTCATGATGAGAAGTGAGGTTGTTTGAGAAAATTAGGATATCATCCATGTATATGATGAGCCATCCTTTGTTGATCTCCTGTTGGAATGTTTGGTTCATGTATGCTTGGAAGGTGGCAGGAGAGTTGCAGAGACCGAAAAACATGATGTTTGGCTCAAAGAGTCCATGCTCCATGGTAAAAGCGGCCTTCCATCTATCATCAGGATGGATACGGATGTTATTGTACCCAGAACAAACGTCCATCTTTGTAAAGTATTTGGCACCATGCAACCGAGTGACTAATGAAAGCGGCAATGGGAGGGGATAGGCATTCTTAACTGTCCAGTCATTGATATACTGGTAGTCTTGACAGGGATGAAGGTCTCCGCTTTTCTTTCCTACAAAGAAGAAACTGCTTGCTTGCGGTGATTTCGATTCCGAGATGAATCCTTTCTTTATGTTTTCATTGATAAAAGCTTTAACCACTGTGTTCTGCTTCCAACAATGGGTACACTTTGGATGTTTTGGGAATGAAACCAGGTTTTGTTTCAATACAGTGATCTATACCGGGTCATTCAGGGGGCAACTGATTGAGGCTATCTTTTGTGAAGATGTCGGCAAAATTGTGAAGGTAAGCGGGGACAAGTTCTTCGAACAATTTCTTCTTTTGCTCAAGTCTAGCAGCTAGTGCAAACTGTTGTGCCTTATTGCTAGTTTTGACGTATTCCATCAGCCATGTCAAGGGCGTAACCGTGGGTTGCTGTTCCGCGATGCTAGTACCATCTTTGGTCAAGGGGATATCCATAGAGATGTTGT